TCGGCGCATTCTTGGGCACTTTCCATTTTGGGCTGTCCTTTAATGTTTCCTTGACGTTTTTGACTGCTGCCACGACGTAGTCATAACTTGACATCGTCCACATGTCGTGTCCATCCAAAGTCTTCTTACGTAACCTAGCTCCCAGGTAGCTTTCTGGAGGTTCAATCTTCCCTTTCTTGAACTTGAATACCCTCCCAATTCCTTCCATCACTTCTTTGGCTTTCATCGACATACATAGGATGTCATCAACGTAGCAAAGGATGTATTCGTAGTATTCCTTGCCGTCAGGTTTCACTGCCGCTTGCATCCAAACGTCTGGGTCGGCAGTTGACGAGCTGAAGCCCAAATCCTCCAAAGTCTCCGCCAGGTGTGATCTGAATGCTGCTGATGAACTTTTTAAGCCATATAATGCTCTTCTTACGATAAATACTTTGCCTTCTTCTTCACCAAACTCGGGTCCTGCTACCAGGTAGCACTTCTCGATTGCCTGTGCAGTGAGGAATGCGTTTTGAATATCCGCGCATTGCAAGTCTAATCCGTTTAGCGCTGCTATCATTAGTAGTATCCGAACTGAATCGCGGGACACTACTGTACTGTAGGTCAATGCTACGGGTGCTTCAGTCTTGTGTCCATCAGCGCAGTACCTCGCTTTCCTTCAAAAGTTTTCCCCTAGTTTCACGTCAAATACTAGGTGTCCCGTGATCTTTTTGTATCCCATCAGCTTCTCAACGTCTCCATCGAATTCTTCAAAAGCGACTTGATTGTTTTTCATCTCCATTTGAATCGAGTCTTGCCATAGCGTGTCCCCATTTGCTTTGTATATTTTGATGGCCTCTTTGATCGATTTTGGGATACGTATTCCGTACTTGTGCGTACGTTCCCAGTACTTTGATTTTACTTTGCCAAGGAATCGCTTTTGCTTTCGAACAACGTGGGGGATCCACCATGCAAAAGCAGGTTCGTCTTGGATGCCCTTGCTTATCGCGTAAACGGCCACTTCAATCGGGAAAGACTCCTTCATATCTTTCAGAGGTATCCAGTTTGAGGAACCACCTTTCCAAGTAACGTAGAAGTCCCACCCTGCTGTCGTGTGCCGTCTTTGTTGCGCTCCACTTGCGAGGGGATAAAAGGCATCTATTATGCTGTCGATAGCTTCAATTTCAAAGCATTCAATCATTTTCCTTGTTCCTTTTTGTAAAAGAATCGAAATCCCTCCGTCCCAGTCGGTCTTCAAGTGTCCTCCGCCTGACCTTGATGATCTTGCCAACGTCTGATTGTCAGGGATTCTCCATTGGACGAGTAATGCTCTGTGGAGAATCGGGAATTTGAGGTCGATTTTGAACTCGGCTTGTCCAGTGCCAGCACCGGCATTGCTACCGTTTTGCCAGAAGCAGAACAGAAGATTGCCAAATGGTTTGCCCCTCAACTTGTGGTTTCTCAAGATAAGAAGGTGAGAGACCCGCTTTGAAAGGTATTCGGAGTAATGCAGTGCGCCAGTTGCAAACGACTTCCGAAAATCCTCTCCGATACATGATTGCTGATGTATTGGACATCTGTGCCGTTGCACAAGAGGAAACATGCTCTGCTGCCTCTACAATTCCCAACTGCAGCTTTGTGAAAGTAAAGATGCAGTTGCTTCTCCGTGGAGATGAACTTAACATGTACGTGACGGCTTTGCTCGCTGAGTTCTTCCCAGAAGGCAAAAACCTCAAAGATGAGATTGGGTTGCCCGTGATTTTGACATCTTTGTGTTGGAACGTGTATTAGATACTGAGATTGGAGTAGTCAGCTTAAGGTAGCCTGGTAGGCGCAGCGGTTCGATTCCGTAATACCTTATATTTGACATGGTAAGGGTTATGGGATCAAGTCCCGATTCACAGTGCCTTGTCGATCTTGGAAATGAATGCTGACTGTCTGCATCGACAGGATAAAGATGGACGTGCGAGGGTTTCGACACCAGGAATGGGTGTGCAAGGCTGAAGGGCTTTTCCCTAAGTATTGAATAAGGGAGGATGTTGGAACGTGTATCAGATACTTAGATTGGACTAGTCAGATTAAGGTAGCCTGGTAGGCAAAGCGGTTTGATTCCGTAATACCTTATATTTGACATCTTTGCTGCAAAGGGCATTCGTGCGACTGGTTCTACCGCAAGGCTCCTAGTGCGATGCCGTCTTGGCAGCCAAGTCTTTCTCCTTCAGATTATCCAACTATTCTTGCATCGGCTAATCCAAGTGCTTTGGTTCCTGAACCTACCAAGAAACCCTCAGAGTCGCCCAGCAAGACCCCTTCCGCAACGCCATCGAGTGCCCCGACTCCGACCCCACCGCCAACACTTGCTTCGGTTCCAGGAGAAACACCAAGTCCAACAGAGACATCCTCTGCAACTCCCTCGTCTACGCCATCAGTCGCTCCTGCCGTTGGAAGCACACCGTCTCCATAAAAAACCGTCGACGTTGGAGCCTACGCTTGGAATCAGCGCCTCGCCGTCGGTTGATCCATCTATCAAGCCCTCTGCATCACCAAGCGTCGAACCGTCTCTGTTGCCTTTGGATCAACCTTCCATCCAACATTCAATGGAACCATCATTGTCACCTTCTACACCTCAGCCATCTTTATCACCAACAATACCATGTAATCGATCCAATGCTGAGCTTTTGGAGGCTGTTTTGAACTGGTTTCAAAGCAAGGCAACAGTCGAAACCCAATATGGACCGATGGGAGACTGGTGTTTCGCTATCGGTGTAACAAGCATGCAAAACCTCTTCTTTGGTAAAAGCACATTCAACAAGGATTTATCAAATTGGGATGTTTCTTCCGTTACTGACATGAGTGGAGTGTTTTGGAATGCACGGTCATTTAATCAAGACTTGTCATCCTGGGACGTTTCTTCTGTCACCAATATGAAGAGCATGTTCAGCGGCGCAAGTGCATTCAATCAAGGCGTGTCGTCCTGGGACGTTTCTTCCGTCACGACCATGAAAAGTTTGTTCAATGGAGCAAGATCATTCAATCAAGACTTGTCATCCTGGGACGTTTCTTCTGTCACGGACATGAGCGACCTGGGACGTTTCTTCTGTCACGGACATGAGTGACATGTTCGCAAACCATCCATTTTTCAACCAAGACTTGTCATCATGGGATGTTTCTTCCGTCATTTCAATGCATCGGATGTTCTACCAAGCATCATCTTTCGATCAGAGTCTTTGTACATGGGGCGCGCGGATTCCAAACAATGCAAATGTCCTCGATGCATTTGCTGACACCAACTGCCCGTCGAAGTCCGATCCAAACTTCTCTGCGACTCCACCTGGCCCTTTTCGCCACACTTGTTAGAATAAAAGGAAAGTTCACGTGTATGGGGAGTACTGTAACGACCATCCTCGTGTTGGTTTGATGTCGTTTTTTCGTCAGTTTGTTTTGTGTGGTGGTCCATGGAGAAGCGAAATCGATGAGGATAGTACTGGTGTCACTGCTTGCTCATAGCATCTTGAATTTTGCAGAGTTGCCTCATGCTGGTACCAATGTACAATTGCACGATTGAAATTTAAAAATGTCATTTCGCCCTCATCGACGCCATCACACCGCGCAATGCCACACCCAATCCCTGTTGAATGAATAATACCATATCAATCATCAATGCCAACAATTCTTTTTGATCCGAGAGTGTTTTATCGACCATATTGATAGCTTTGATATTCGTACCTTTCGATCAGGCAGTGTACCGTGGTAGGCCTTCAATACTCAAACATAGTTCGGAGGAAGGTCGATTTTAAAAATTGTGTTGCGATGAATACAAATAAGCCACGAACTGGATCAATTCGACTGTAACCGATGCTAGAGATAAGCGCAATGGGTACAGCCAAGAGTGGAACAGGAGTTCTGTAGTACTGTACCATTTCGTCTCCGACCTTGTCACATCTGAGGTCCACATTGCTGCATATGTATATTCCATGATTTGTAATAGGACTATTAATAGTTACTAGTCTTGGCAATATACATGAGAGAAGATCGGTGCGCCAATGATTTGAAGCAAGAACTGGAATATAATTAGCTTTGTTCCTTGTTTGCAAGGAAAAGTTTTGGCATAGTGGATGACAGACTTCTCGAACAAGAATGCATCCAGAGACTGGTAGCCGCCAACAACCCTCCCACAATTTGTGCCGAGGAAATTCCATGGGATCCAGCTTGTAAAAAGCCAGAAAGAAGAATCCCAAAGATGAGTGCGAATCCCTTTTGGACTGAACCCGCATGTTTGGTGACCAATCCAACCAAGATTCCACCAAACGAGTTGGTCAAAATAGGAATCATCGTCTTGGGGGTCCACAAATGAAAGAATCCATGCTGACCGATTTGTTTGCCATCTTGACTGAAAAAGAGGCTGGTGGTCAAGACAAGGACGGATGCCACTGTCAATTCCATACTGAAAAGATAAGGATTGATCGGTGTTGCCTTGGTGACGGTGGTGGTGACGGTTGTGGTGCTTTCGATGACAGATGATGGCACCTTCTTTTTGGTGACTCCTTGCAAGTTTTTTTGTGTCAAGGCACCCGCCAGTCCCGAGAGGAAACTGGCAAAGAGACATGGAAGAACACCATGGGTGAATCGTCGACCCTTTGGCATTATGGTAGCCACTCCATTTCCCAACAAGGAAACAATGTTTCCAAAGGACACTACACCTTCAATCACCAAGGCCGATACGAGTAGCAAGATCAGCGACAAGGCTTGAACTTTGGATTGTCTCTTCCCCATGACGAGGAAACAACAAAGGGCAGCCGACAAAGTCTTGGTTTGATTCAAGACGTTAAAGGTCAAAGCTTCCAAGTTCTGATACGCCAACAGCGATGCCAAGTTTTGCACCGTGTAAATCGCCGCCGGGATCCCCGCCATGGTGAGCCAGGATCGCAGGGTCAAGCGGGATATTTCAAAGCTTCGCATCTTGGGGGAGGTGGATCCATAAAAGGCAAACAGCGCAATGACGCCCTTGACCAATTCTTGGGTCATGACCACAGAGCTTTTGCAGATTCCTCGAGGGGCGAATCGTTTCACAAGAACCGGTTGGATTCCAAATTGAATAGCGAGAAGACTCATGAATAGAATTGCCTTTTTAGAAATCCCGCCGTCGGATGATTGCATCGTCGGTGATGATGATGCTTTTGTGGTTTCTGCCGCAGTCGTGGGAGGCCTGGGAGGATGAATGGAGATCCAAACAGGTTCTGGAACATTGGAGAATGTAGGTGTCACTTCAGTCTGTTGTTGTTGTTGTGGTTGCGACTGTTGCGAGTGCTGTGATTGTTGCTGTTGTGATTGCTGTTGCGATTGCTGTTGCTGAAGCGGTTCCGTCGGTGAGGAAGCTTCAGAAGTACCGGTCGTGGCTGCGGATCTCAATCGTAATTCAGCTCGCATATTCCGAGCTGCCTTCTTAATCTTATTCTTGGCTCGCTTCAGACGACTTCCGCCTGATACTTGCAGACCTGGAGCCAACGGACCATCAAAGGGTCTGTCGGTCTTATTATTGGGTCGAGAGGATGGGTTGGGACGACTGATGGAAGCATCAGCAGACGGAAGAGGAGAGATGGCATTCACAGAGGCCATCTGAGTATTCAGAGCTGCTAGCATGGCAACGGCAGCCAGCATTGCTGAATTTCGCTTGTAGTGACAATGGGGAGTAGGTTGAGCCATCGTGGTATAACAGTGGGATGAAATATTGTGCTTATAGGAATGAGTGATATAAAAGATGATGGGTGATTCCGATCAGCTTTCAATTTTTGAAAAAAGGGATGAGATGGTTTGTTTTGCTGACTCAACGAGAAAAAAAAGATGGATTGGACCCGATTCTATTCTGAACCAATCATTACGACGCGCGTCAATTTTTTTTAAACAAGCTTGAAGTAAAATCTTCTAAACGAATGATAATCCTTTATTTCAGATTTGGTTGCCGTAGATGGACAGACACATAACGGCATACTCAGTCAGTTGAATGACGTACGTTTTGCTTCAACTTCGATTTCAAAATCTCAAATCCGAATCCTTTTGGCCATTCAAAACATTTGCGACTACAAAAGTACACGTGTACTGTCCAATATCAAATCATTGGCTGGGAACAATTTAGTTTTAGTATGTAGTTTAGCAGTGTATGTTACCTACAATGGTACCGGTACTGTATGTGTATTCGCTAGAATCTATCAATGAATGAATCAATCATCGTATATATGTATGCAAATGCAATTGCTGGCTGGGCATTATTTTTTTAGACACCCAAGAAGAAGCGGGCAGCTCCCAATCCACCAACCGTCAACCAAACCCAAAGCATAGCGGCAAGGAGCACAGGCTTGGGTCCCAACTTGCGAATTTCCACCAAGTCGGAATCGATTCCCAAGGCGGCCATGGCGCAAATAAGAGAAAAGGCCGAAGTCTTGCTGGCCATCTTGACCAAGGCAGCTGGAATTGGCAACACCGAGTTCAAGGCCGAAAGGCCCACAAATCCAAAGGCAAACCATGGAAGAACAATCTTGCATCCGCTTTGCTCGACTGCTTTGCCGGCAGCCTTGGCTTCTAGGAGGCACTTGCGGTTTTTGAACCAAGAAAGTGACATCAAGGCGGGTGCCAAAAGCAAAACACGGGCCAACTTGGTGACAACTGCAGTGACAGCAACGTCCCCGCCCATGGCCTTTCCGGCAGCGACCACTCCAGCAATCTCGTGCATGGTGGAACCAGTAAAGATACCCATGAGTTTGGGATTGGCTGTCAGGCAGGGGATCCACTTGTACAAGAGGGGATACAAGAACATGGAAAGGGTTCCACCCATCACCACGGTTCCGACAGCGGCAGAGACTTGATGAGACTCTCCTCCGACGACAGGTTGAGTGGCCAAGACAGCCGAGCAGCCGCAAATGGCAGCACCGGATCCAATCAAAGTGGAAGTAGTCTCGTCCAAACCAAAAAGTTTTTGGCCCAAGTTGACACCCAAAAAGAGGGTCGATGACACAATGAAAGCGTCCGTGGCAAGTCCAGCAAAGCCAATGCCAGCAATTTGTTGCAAGGTAATCTTGAATCCATACAAGATGATACCAAGACGCAGCAAGCGTCCCTTGGAAAACTTGATTCCAGAAGCAAGGGTGCGCTTGGCATCGCCCTTGTGCAAGCAATTTCCATACACCATGCCAAAGATGGTGGCCCATAGCAATGGAGATACATGAGTCCCAAGTGGAGTCTTGGAGACTGCAATGGATAGTTGTCCGAGAGCAGCAGCCAAAGCTACGCCAGGAGTACGTTCGGCAACAAAGTTGGTAAGCTGATCGAATCTTGTGGTGGTGGTGCGCTGTTCTTCGAAAAAGGTGGAAGTTGTGGCAATTCCAACATTAGTGAGGCTTTCCTTATTATTGTTCTTGTTGTTGTTGTTGGGAGTGAGGTGAAGTAGAGTATGGGAATGTTTGTTTTTGTTCACGGTGGTCTGCGAAAGAGGAGTCTTTGGGACAAATGCGTCAGCGTTGACACACAAAGCCAAAAACATCACCATAAAGAGACACCTGTAGTTGCGCTTGAACGCTAGCTCACGAGGGTTGCTGGGGCAATTCATGTTGAGCTGCTATTTGGGAGAGCGTTGTGGTTATATTGTCAGAACAATAATGGCTGTTGTGCTTTGTTTTAGTGACCTTGTCTGGCAAGGAGGGTTCTTGATTTCCTTTTGTACGAGGAAACAGTGTAAGTTTGTGGGTGGGTTTCTGTCGCAAAAGTTGACAACTCCTTTGATGCCTGTCGTTGTGAGGTCTATTTCAAAAATGGGGTGATATGATTGGTGGAAATGAGTATCTTGGTTGTCTTTATACGCGTTGTCCAGAAAGCTGTGGTTCCTACAGTACTTACCTGGATGCCTTGAACACCACAAAAAAAAGTTGAGAGTGATGTGGTTTGCATTTTCAAGGATGAATCTTTTCCACTTTTGATGATTTTGCCAGAAAAAGCGCGAGCAATGTACTTAACGTAGAGGGTTCTGCCATTTGTTCGCTGTAGATTCAGTACTGTGGAAAGGATGACAGCATTTTCAAAGAGCCGGCCGCAAGAAAATCTTCACTTAAGGTATATCGAAGTCAGAGGAGTCGATGTATGAAAGTGCGGCAAAAGTGCCGCACTTTGAAAGTGCTAGTTCCCATCTGGTGATGAGCAGACTGACACGGGAATTCTGTCTCTACAAGAGGGATCACCCGCAATGGATTGAACTCTTCCCGCCCCGTTTTTTTGGCAGATGACTTGCCTTCTGCCTGGTCGACAGTCATTGATGACCAACAAGCGCAGAGATCCATCCTCTTGAGGAAAAGCGAGAAATCTCACATCTTTTGTATTTTGCGTCTTCTATTTTATATTAGACTAAACAAATCAAGGCATCATGGGCGAAAAGAAGGAAAAGAAAGAGAAGAAGGAGAAAAAGGAAAAGAAGGAAAAGGGTGAGAAGAAAGAGAAGAAGGAGAAAAAATCCGGCGGAGCAGAAGAGTTCACCGTGGAATACTTCGAAGAGATTTTGGCAGAAGTCGCAGGAAAATGTGAGAAGAAGATTAAAATCAAAACCAAGGATAAGGAGGCTTTCCAACAAGCATGTGACAGTGCCTACCAAAACTGGACCAACAAGATGGAAAATGAAAAGTACTTGGACGAGCTGATGGAAAACAAGGGAGCTTCTAAGGACGAGATTGCGGAAGCCCAAAAGTTTGCGGAAGAATCTTCCAAGGCTCAACCCAAATACGAAAAGCATGCTACTCGACAAGCTCTGAAAATCTTTGAGAGTTTGGATGGTGACAAGATGGGTGATATTGAAGACAAGCTTGTCAAGGGTGCCATTATTGCCCAGGCAACTCCTGATGCCCTCGCCAAATTTGCGGCGGATGGCTATAAGAACCAAAACCTTTTGAAGAAACTCTTGGATGATCCCGAATTGATGAAGGAAATGCTGCGCAACGGTGGTGCTGCGCAATATGAATACGCCGAAGCGATGCGCATCTATGTTGAGTGTTTGGGAGATGACTACAACGATGAAAGCGAACAAGATAAGTTCTTCCCTGTGAACAAGAAGATTGCTTTGGCTTGTGCCTTGGAGTTGTGCACCGGTGTCCGTCACTTTGACACTGCCGATACTATCGATCCCGTGGCTCGTTACAAGCACTTTGAAGAGGCCCATCGAAATGGCGAATTGGATCCCGCCTTTCCTCACTTTTCTGTCTGGGAACTCCGTCAAGTTGTCAACTGCGATGCTCCCAACGACCAGATGGAATGGTGCCGCAACATGGTCATGTTGTATTGTCCCCACGTGACGTGCCTCACCGATCCCAAAATGACCTATACTTATATGCTCCAAACCGATGTCCGTCAACGTCCACCCAAGTGGACTGGATCTCCCAGAACCTACCCCATGGTCTTGTCTGGTGGTGGTAACGAGTCCGTCAACTCGTGGTTTGGACGCTTCATCTTGCAATCCTTTGGACTTCCCGTCTGGGGAACCAAATACCGACGAAAGGAGGGTTTCACTCGATGGACCAGCGCAGGATGGGAGGCCATGAATGGTGCTGATTGGGAAACTGCCATGTGGAACGGTAAGGCCGGTAAGGATTTCAAGATGGAATTGGAAGCCCGTAACAAGGCACCTCCGATTGAATACTTCAAAAAGTTGGTCTACCTCCAATGTTTGGCCGATGTGATTGATGCTGGTGACACCATGAATATCCCAAAAGAGGAAAGGGATGTCTTGCACCCAGAGCGATTCTGGCGATCCATGTCAATTGTTTCGTTGGAACTCTTGTTTCAAACAGAAACCGAAGTGAAACGTACTTTTGAACGAAAGGGAGAGAGTCTCACCGAAACAAAGGTCGAAAAGTACCTCAAAATGTACGAGGAAGATGCTCCCGACAAGGATAACAAGTTTGATGATGAGAGTGGTAAAGTCACCATTTACGCCAGTAAACACAATGGAGTGGCGGAAGGTAATGTTTTGACCATTGCCAGTTTCAAGGGCGGTCAGCAATTGAATTTCATTGCTGATGGACAAGTGGAATACGACGTTCCGGACGAGGCTCCGGCCAAGACTTATAAGGTCGTTGTTGAGGTCAATACGGTTTCCAACAACAAAACTCCAATGACGTTGTACAACGTTGCTGCTGACGATAATCGTATCAATGTTCCTCTTCCCTATACCATGGGGATGTGGAAGAAGACCGATCCGGTGGAACTCGAACTCAAGGGAGGAGACACAATCCGATTTTCAAGACCCAAGAATGCATTGGGTGTTGCGATCAAAAAGATTATCTTGAGCTAGATTGCATCATTGACAATAAGAACATATAACTCTTTGTTTTCTGTTACATATTTAGAAACAAACAGGTTGCTTTCTTCTTCATCTAGCGTTGGGATTAAATTGGAATATTAAAAGGCGTGTATACGAACGAGTAGTTGTTGGTTGAAAATGGTCGATCTCATCGATCATTCATATCATCTTCTTACAGAATGTAGTTCCGATTGATCCATTGTCTCCGGTAGCATCCTTCTCATCTTGTCTGATTGATTCATTGCTTCCTTCATCACCAATCGCATCGCGGTGTCCGTCTTAAAAGCCTCAGACCAGCGGTATTTCGATCCAATACCAAGACTGTATATACATTTAGTGCATACAATAATACATTGTACAGTGCTTCAAAATCCTCGTATTCTAGGCCTCGTCAGCAGTGTAGTATTCCAGTCAATATCTCAGTGTGGCTTCAATTGGAAGGCTGCCACTAACAAGAAGACAATGACGGAGCAATACACCACGGGCATTTTGTTCGTGGAAGAGTCATCAACAGAAGTAGCAGTATTTGAAGAAGAGCCATCTTGGGTATATTGCGTTTGGTCCACTTTGCTGTTCCAGTCAACGTTGCCATCTCCAGTGGGATCATGTTGGCCACCAGCACTATTACTGCTGGACCTATCTATCGATACTACATGGTTCGAATCATCACCAGTGTCCTTTCCGTGGTGGTGTGATAACGATTCTCTCTTGTTGGCTGCTTCTGTAGTGGAAGTGCGAAGATGATCATTATGGCGTCCGTTTTCCTGTTTCGGATTTGAATTGCGACTTGTTTGGCTAAAGTAGGTGAGATCATTCCCATCCTCCTTCGCCACATGTAGCTTGTCAGTCTTGGTTAGGGGCGTGGAAGAATCTCGCCCATTATAGTACTGTGACTGAGAGTGTTGCCCATCATCTTGTGGATGATGATGCTGCGGCGGATTGGAATGATTATCACTTCCTTGCTTCGCCGTCGTGTGATGATAATCTAGGTTGGAATTTCTTTCGGGGGTGTATGAATCTCGATCGGTTGGAACACTGCGATTTTCACTACTTTGAATGGTTCGAAGGCTGGTGTATTTGGTAGTCTCATGTCCATTCTTTCCTCCCTTTTGGTCTGGTTGTACGGTATCTGAAGAACCATGATGATTTTCATACCTCAGTTCCTGATCGGAATCTATATGATCGTTTTGCCGCGGATGCTCATTCCGACTATCCGCATTCTTATTATGAGTGCGCACAGTGCTACTACTCACGATGTCATCATGTTTTGACCGTTGGTGATCTTTTGTTTGGAATTGACCAGTTGTACGAGTACCCTCTTGGTTCGGGTGGGTTCGTTGTTTTGGTTCCTGAATATGATCTCGGTAGTCATCTTGAGCTAGAGAAACTGGCACACTGCTGATCATGAAGGCGCCTGTTGCCATCAGTATCCATTGTATCAGCAGTGTCGAATATAGCTTCATCGTTGTGTTCCCCCTTACTCAATGGAAGGTCAGTAGGATATTGCAGGAAATGCTTCAGGATATGCAGTCACTGGATCATCGCAGTCATATCATACCATCGCATCATCGTATCATCGATTGATATGGAGTCATCTTATTCGAGTCGATCTATTCGACTAAATGACGGTATTCCAACAACGCGCAATGACACATGTCACATCAACTACTGTATACTGTCAATCGAAGCACATACAATCCAATTTGAATATGGTACCAACTGTAATAAGAAGTCGACAACTCCGAAACGGAAAGCAATAGTTGCCACTGTTGTATCCTCGTCAAACACTTCCTAAAATACCACAATTTGCAAAGTTCTCCTCAACGTGCGGAAAGAATAAGGAACAAACACATTGATATAATGGTGAAGATCTCTCCTCTTGTTCGTTTGCCAAGTGGATTAATGGTTAACATATTTACCAAAGGAGGTGTACAGGCCTTTCTTGAATCAGAATTGAGCCAAACCTACCTTTCCTCTGATTTGAGAACCATCAAAGATATTCGGAAGACGAAGAATCGGACTTCGGAAGCCGAAGATCTCCTTTTTAGTCTGACTGCCAAGATTGAGTTCATTGCTACCCTTGCAGACCCCATTCTCTTTGCGGAGACTGTGCCAGAATCGGAGATTGAAGTTTGGTTTATTTTCGTCCTCCACGAATTGAAAGCCTTGAGCGCCAAGCCAGACTGGTTAAGGTCAGGGGAGTTGGACGAAGACGACATGTCATGCCTCAACATCAGCGCTGCCATGTTCCACTTCCACGCTGTCCCGGTTCAGCTTGCATTTGAATGTGAATACGTTCAACTTTTGGCAGACTTTCTTAAAGCCTGTCCTACTACACTTCCCTCCACGGAGATTGCCGGTCAAATCACAAACATTGTATCTCGGATTATTTAATTACGGGGACCTTGTACGAGGGATCTTCTCCATCACAAGGTTCGAGTCGGATGGTATCCTGACAGAATTCATTCGATACGCGACGATACCCCAACCCAACGCGATCCTTGATCAAGAAATCGTGATCAAGGTTTTCAACGATCTATACTCTGCAGATGAATTTCTGAAGACTGAGTTTCGAAGAGGACAACCATGTGGTGATGTAGTAGCGGCAATTTTGCGAGGTGAGGATGGAAGCAAGACCAAGCGACCTTGTATTTTGGAACGACTACAGGTGATTGCGAGGCGCGCCGATGTACTGAACAATGCTGATGACGATACATGTATCGAGCTCCGGTCGTGCAGCAGTTGCGGAGAAAGTGGCAAATCAGAGCTATTCCAGGGATCACTGAAGAAGTGCGGCAGATGCCAAAACGTATACTACTGCTCGAGGGCGTGCCAAATGGCGGATTGGAGTAAACACAAGACAGTTTGTAGACCTCTGTGATTATGCGTCAATAAGAAATTAAAATTTCTAAAAGATCATTCCGGTGCAAAAACATTCAATTGTATTCCATTGCTCAACTAGGCCAGACCTGGTTCTCTCTGCCCAGCTGTATCAACGGGACGACTCGACACACATTTCAATAGCTGTTGGCTGCATGCTGCTGTTGTGAGAGATCACGAAACACATCTAGCAGCCGCCGCCGCCGCCACATCCTCCTCCCCCTCCTCCTCCTGGAAATGGCAAAACGAACAACTATGAGCGCCATGGCTCAACAAAGGAGGATCAAATTCTTTATCAACCTTACCTCCACAGCCTGTGATGAGAGATTCAAAATTGGGTTTTCTTTTTGAGACAATAAATTACGCATGGAATGATGTAACGAATCTTCCTGAAAGGCTTACCTCCTCCACCACCACCACATGCTGCGGCACCCTACATTTCAAAACAGGAATACGGGTGAGATGAAAAGCACGATTGATTCATTCACTCCAGCTTTGAAAACAGACGAATTCTACTTCTTACACATGCGGCAGCCCCACAGCCAGACGCGCCACATCCTCCAGCGCCACGAGCTGCCCCGCCACCACACATCCCACCACAGGCGTAGTATTCCGTGGGGAAATACCAAATTCCAGCATCACTGTAGTGTTTGTTGGAAACCTGACGGTTGTTCGTGTACTTTGCGGGCAGTCCTTCCTTTCCAGTTGGGTTGACTGCTCTTGCTCGAGCCTTTATGATTGACTCTGCGGTTACCAATTTTTCAAGATCGTCCTCCATTTTCTTTGGTGCGGTAAAAAGGCCGCAGCATGTTGCCATAGCAATATCACTATTCTTCGCTTTGATGCGAGCCATAATCCTCTTTGCCAAAATCTCGTAGGCCTCCTTTGTGGTAATATGAAAGTATCCTGTTCGGTTGCCATTTCTACCGAATATGTAGTTCTGCCTGAATGGATTGGCATTGATACCCCTACTTGTGGATTTTGGAGACATGCTGATAAATGCGGGGGAGCCATCAGGAGCGGATCCATATATTGAAGTCCAATACGTAGTCGAAGTGGCATTGGCTGCCTGATCATTTGCATCGACTCGTCGCACCGTACGCACAAAGCCTGTGGCAATCTTGGTTTGCTTCATGGTGGTGAAGTTTACCATGTATCCATCGCTAGGAGAAATTTCGCCATTGCTGCCATTAGCCTGGTATGCCGACTCCAAAATAGAATTTGCCTTATCGTCGTATTTGATCCAGCAGTCGGATGGGTTTCCATAAATGGCAGATGCGCTATGCTTTCCCATGTGCCCTTGTGTCTCTTGCCAGCACCATACCTTTGGGTCATCCATAGCACACTTCACATTTGCCATCCTCTGCACCTCGCGTACATATCCTGTTGCCGTTTTTGTCTGTTTATTCTCGAGAAAGTCCACCACGTATCCATTCCCCAAGTCACATGTGCCTTCACCACCTTGATTTCTGAATGCGGTTTCAAGCATTGTATTCGATGAGTTGTCATACTTGATCCAGCATTCCGAGGGATCACCAACAATCGAAGACGGGCTGTGCTTTCCCATTTGTCCTTGTGTCTCTTTCCAGCACCATACCTTGCGGCTCTCCAAAGCAGACTTCACATTTACAGTCCTCTGCACCTCGCGAACATATCCTGTTGACTGCTTTGTCTGTTTGTTCTCGAGAAAGTCCACCACATAGCCATTTCCCAAGTCACATGTGCCTTCTCCACCTTGATTTTGAAATGCGGCTTCAAGCATCGTATTCGATGAGTTGTCATACTTGATCCAGCATTCGGAGGGATCACCAGCAACGGAACTCGCAGGATGTTTTGACATTTGCGATGCTGTTTCCTTCCATGCCCACACAATGTCCAAGTCGTAAGCACCACCAGTCGGGTTTGTAGACGATGCGCCCTGTAGGTCAATCAAGTGCAGAAATGGTCCCAGAGGAATCTGTGCTTCTTCGTTGCTGACTCTGCTACACCACGAAATATTGTAGTATTCCTTCGGTGGTTCACCACGATACATTCCTCCCTTTACAAAATAGTCTTCTTCGTAATTTTTCTTCCATAGAGCTTTAGTATCTTTGAAAGCTCGATCCAATGGACCATCATCCGTTCGATCATTCAAACTGTCGTCGTGGTTCAATGTAGTTCCAATTATGGCCTTACAGTCCACAAAGTATCCAGTCAGACTAGATAGAATGTGAGTATGCCACATGAGATCGATCTGATATGTGGGAACAAGTACAATGTTAGACTTCTCTGCCTTTTTGCGGAGTTTCAGAAACTTGTAGTATTGTAGGGCTCCCTCCTTGAGGAAATCGTCATTAGCAAAGCGTGGACCCGAGACTTGCCACAGAAAAGTCGCTTGGCGATCGGTAGAACCCAAGAGGTCAAAACCATTCAAGGAGAGATCTCTATCATCGATCTTTTCTTCAGCGATGGATAGGATTGTTCTCGAATCAGATTCATCCATTTGAAGGTGGAACCTCTCCCCCGGATACTGTTGGTTCCAAAGGGATCTAGTTCTCTCAGCGGCAAGGTTCATGTCGTCGTCAGTCACATTAAGGCTTCCTCCGTACACTTCATCGTTGTTCCATTGAAAACAAAAAGGTGGATTGGCTTCAAGCATTTGGCAGTCTTCGCCGAATTCACGCCTCAGATACGATGTATAACGGAATGGCGCAAGTCGGTGACAATGCCAGAGCCACGCACAGTCGGCCGGTGGCACGAGCGTTTCCCGACGATTGGCGTAAATCAAAGGTAGCCACAAGTCACGGTAGCGCTGAAGTGACTTAGGAGAAGGTCGTCGAATGGTGACTCCTAGTTGATGAAGAGTCTGAAGGAATCCAACATGCTGTTTCGACAATTCAACCAAGTCAATGGGGAAGTCAAAGGCTCTGTCGCCAGTCCGGGTTTCAGTTTCAGCGTTACTCTGTATCATTGTGATTATGATTGTATCAACAGATTGATCACTTCAGCGTTGACAATCGTGCGAAGGATACTATCTGTGCATTGATGATGACGACGGCGGATCTGCTAGTAGATATGCTTGCAAAATGCGGGTATGTACGATGAGAATACGATGATAATGAGAGCATATATTTTTTCCTCAAACCTGCAAAGGACTTCTATAGTGTCAATTGCAGTCGAATTGATCCGGTTTGGGTAAAGTGAGTACCTACAGTACCTACCTAACCTACTGTACCATACCACCGGTACACACGGAACAAAGTTGACACTTCCGGACGTCCGGTACCATACAGTAGTATTAATACATACTACATGCTTGCCACGAGGTGGACTTGAGATTGAAAGTGTAGAATACTCTCAGCATGTGGTCGAGGAGCAAACAAGAAACTGCCGCGAAACCGCAACCTTTCCCTGATGGCACTGGTGGTAGCACTTGAGCTGAAGGAATGTTTTCAAGACTTCAGTTCGTGGCTCAGGGTTTTGGTCGAAACTGATATGGATCTAAATGTTGGGTCTGGTTCCACAATAGAATGACCTTCGAACAGAGAGGGCGATGCCGAGGATGCTTGGCTGCTGCTGCTGGCGCTGGTTCTTGGGACTGATTCCTTCGAAGAAGATTGTTAGCTGAAGGCAACAAAAAGACGGCATAGCGATTGGTGACGTAGACAGCTTCGATGCTGGACCAGTTGTAGCTTGAGAGCTGACCTGCTACAGTATCGCGTATTAATACCAGTTCGAGTACATAGTCTTCTTGACCACAAAATAAAGAAGGGTTCAGCGTCTATGATGTCGGACATTTTCAATTTAGCCCTCTTCGGACAGTAAGTTTGTTCGATTGATTGTCCGTGCGCAATTCAGCGATGCATATTTTTCATACCGATATGCATTGGTACTGTCATTGTGATATTGCAACTTAGTATCACCCTTCCCCACTGTACGTTCTTCTAGCTTCTACAACATATCTTCAATCACCCAACATAAAGCAACATGTCATCGGGATATCAAGAACCGTCGGACTTGTTCAAACGATTGTTTTTGCCACCCAAGAATCCCAGTTTGACTCTGTCGAGCGATCAACAATGGATGGTAATCTCTCAAGAGCCGCCATTGCCTTCCATTGAACTCTTGGCTCGCACTGAAGAAAAGCTAGCTGGTATTCGATTTGATCCTCAGATGTGGACGCCGTCTCGTATGGACTTTGCTACTTCCTTGGTGTTACAGCACTTAGAAAGTGGCAAACAACAAAACATGGAATTGCCAACCAATTCCGAAGGGATTCGGTACATTCGGTTTCATCCAAAGCTTCCAATCTTTGTATTTGCTTCCAAAATCAAGGGAGAGCCCATGTTGGAATTGTACAAGTGCCAACTGAATGAGTCATCGGACAATCAATGGAGCATTCATCCTATTCCACTGCCAGAAGAAACCAAACGCATGAACTTTATCTATGGCTGCTCCTATCAATTCACCAGCGACGGCGCTTCCTTATTGGTAAAGGTCGTTCCCAAGGATTATTCCAAAGGACCACCAATCAAACCCACCAGCACCGGGCCCGCCATTCAAGTGGTGGCCAAGAATGCCCGCAAGGCACCGGGTCGGACCTATCAAGATTTGCTCAAGAATCCACACGACGAGGCCAAGTTTCACTATTACTTTACCACTCAACTATTGTGCATTGATGGAATTACTGCCACTGCTACGAATGAAGATGCACTCAAAATAAGAGTCTTACCACAGTGTGGTGAGGTTTGCATCTTTCAAAGCATTCAGTCAAGTCCCTGTGGGCGTTTCCTGTTGGTCCAATTGACGACCGACTTGAGTTACAGTGTGACATTGCGTCGGTTTGGCAAGTCGATTGAATTGTGGGACTTGTTTTCCTCGAACAAAACGGTGGTCCAAAAGATTCCCGTAGACGATGAAATTCCACTGTCGTACGATGCCTGTTCCAGACACCCGAGATCCTTTTTCTTTCATCCCTGCAAGGATTGTACTTTGATACACGCACAGGCACTGGATGGGGGAGATCCAGCCAACAATGTCGACTTGGTGGATGGCGAGCGGGATGCCTTGTATCTGCAAGATGTTGAATTATTGGATGTTAGCGGGGAAGGGAAAATCGTAATCAAGGAAGCTACCAAATGGGTCGGCATGGAATGGCGATTTGACGATGTGGAATTTGGTGCTTCGGGGATTGCCTTTTTGGACGAATATCGATGGAAGGATCGCATGGAACGAAAGTGGATCTTGCCAGCCTCAGGTGGTGGAACGAAACAACTCTTGTGGGAACGATCGTGGGAAGATCGATACAAGTCGCCTGGGGCTCCCTTGACTCGTCGCAGCGGGGAACGGAACCAGTATTTTGTGGTTCAGCCGACTCCCAATTCGCTCTATTTGAGAGGTGCTGGAGCATCGCCACTAGGAGATCGTCCCTTTTTGGACCTACTTGAATTTGAAGAGAATGAAGAGGGAGAATCATCGTCATCGACAACTCCAGTCAAGAAAACAATGACACGCTTATGGCGGTGCAAAGCTCCAGTGGAAGGAGATTTGCTGGATGCTGCCCTTGAAACTGGTGGGGTCTTGCCTTCTGACGAAGAACGGCAAGATGTCTTTGAGTCCTTTGTCTCGTTGTTGCCGGACAATGAATCCATCATGATTTCTAGAGAATCCAAGACAACACCAAGGAATTACTACTTGACCAAGTTACCATCCAAGGAAAAGAAAATCGAAACCAAGGAGATTCAAATTACGACTTTTGAACACCCACAACCCGATCTATTGGGCGTAACCAAGGAATTGGTCCACTACAAGCGCAACGATGGAGTGGACTTGACAGCCAATTTGTATCTGCCACCCAACTATGATGGAACCAAGCGTCCCACACTCTTTTGGGCCTACCCTCGAGAATTCAAGGACAGCAAAGCGGCTGGACAAGTCAAGGGCTCCAAGCATAAATTTGTTTCGGCGTCATGGGCTTCGCCCATTCATTGGGCTGCCAAGGGATGGGCCATCATGGACGACTTTTCTTTGCCAGTGATTGGAGAAGGGGATGCCCAACCTAATGATACGTTTATCGAACAATTGGTTGCGGGAGCTACGGCAGCAGTGGAATACGCCAAGGAACGTGGGGTTTGTGATCCCGACCGATGTGCTGTGGGAGGACATTCGTACGGGGCTTTCATGACTTCGCATCTTCTCTCCCACACGACTCTCTTTGCCGCAGGTATGGCTCGATCCGGTGCTTACAATCGCACTCTGACTCCGATGTCGTTTCAATCCGAAGATCGTTCCATGTGGGAGGCCCCCGATACGTACATCAAAATGAGCCCACTGATGCATGTCAAGAAGTATTCGGAACAAGCAAAGGTCGGTAAAATGCTCCTCATTCATGGAGAGGTGGACGAGAACTCGGGAACTCATCCGATGCAAAGCGAGAGATACTTTGCTGCACTGAAAGCGTTTGGAATTGAATCCAAGTTGGTCGTCTTGCCACACGAAAGACACAGCTATCGTGCGAAGGAATCTATCTTGCATATGGCCTATGAACAAGAAACCTGGTTGAGTAGCTTAGAAGAGAATAAGTAGACCTATGCATAGGATAAATGGCAGATAATGCAGATATTTGAATGCCCATCGATAGTCCTCGAAAGGCACTTTCCACTTGTGTGTTCGTCTGTTTTTTCTCTGGAGGAGTGTAACTCGTGGGTCGCGCTGTGTGAGACTGGAGCCTACGACTGTTGGTGTAATGAGAGGTTCAGTGTGTCCCTGCAAATCCGTTTCCGGGAAATCCGTTTTCAATCATAATCGGAAACCCCGCCCCGTCGAAAAGTCTGTATGTTGGACTCATCCGACTTGAACTCACCACTCACCGCATATACATACACGTGTACCGGTACTCTTGTATCCATTTTCAGCGTGCCCTCGCTATTCAGAACATTACTGCTTGATACAGTAGTTTGAGCTATATGGCAAACGACCCAAAAAGGAGAAAATTCATTTCAACAGGTAGAAATTCCAATGGAGGAGATCCGAGTCAAGATTCGAAAGCATGGCAATCCTTCTGGCAAATTGCTTCGCTTTCACAAATCTATCGAGCTTACTCCTTTGATAATAAAGATCGCAAACAAGCTATTGAAGAACGAGGTCAGATCGGATTTTGATGCAAGTCGACACCAGCTGTTGCTCGGGGGTGAATTCGTTGTTGACAGTGTCTCAGAAATTGACGACGGCGATGAATTGGTGCTCAGCCAGATAGATGACACAGTGGAGACAGACACTCCTCTGTCGGGAGCAAATAGCAGCCCATCTCACCGGGTGTCTCCAGCCGCTGCGAATGTTACCCCTGTCGTGAAAAAAGAAGAGGAATCCGATGAGATGCCTATAAAAGTTGAACCGTACGAAGCGGGGGAACTCATTTCTGTAGCTGACGACGACGATGATGTCAAGCCCGATATCAATACTTCAAAGAGTAATCAATCTACTGGTCCAACGGAAAGATCAGCAGGTGTCAAACGAAAGGTGGCTCCCGCCGCAGCAAGTGCTCCTGGTTCAGCGTCGCTGAAACGAGAAGATGAGGAATTTCCACGGGTCGTCCGGAGGCCAAAGAAGGCCCCCGTAATAATTACAATTGATGATGAATCCGACACCGATGACGATGGCGATGAAGATGTTTCAAGTGATGGATCAATTGAAGATGGATCAGATGCCTGGATGTCATCAGATGGAGAAGACGACGACGATGAAGAAGAAGATGGGAAGGAAGATTCTGACTTTGAACCTGGTTCGGACGATGATTCTGATGATGATGCAGAAATGAAAGCTTCTAGAGCGAAGGAGCCAAAAGAATCACCACTACAAGTTCTTATGGATGAGAAAGATATACCATCTGCTCCTGGAAAACGAGAAGGTAGCAATGAAGGCGACCAAGAGGAGGAAGTATCTCTACTTATTGATGGAGCTGGTCGAAAAAACACGGACAAGGCTGTGAAGGATCGCATCATGAAGCTACTTAATACTGGTTTTCACGATCAATCCAATGAGCATGAAGCAAAGAATGCCATGAAGCTTGCAAACAAACTGATGAGAAAGCACAATCTTTCCCAGGCGCTTCTGCTGAAGGAACGCGACGCAAAGAACAGTGGCACCCAGGCAAATGATGGAGTCTTGAGAGGAGGCATGGTACATGTAAAGATTATCAATCGCAAGACACAAAAGGCGGCACTCTTTGCTAGGTGGCTGGGTACGCTTACGTCACATGTTGCGACCAACTTTGACGTAAAGACCTACTATAGCACAAGTCGAGGACGCAAGTGCAAAGTGACATTTTACGGCATTTACACAAATGCGCAACTAGCAGGTTATGCCTTTCGAGTTGCCGCTGAAAGAATTTCTCAAATGGGTGCTACGTATCAACCCACAAAACGTTCCGGCATCAGCCTTGCCAGCTGTCGACTTAGTTACTGTATTGGGATCGTCAAAGGAATAGGAGAGGAAGTAGACCGAACTATCCATGAAGAAAAAATGAAACGATTGCGAAAGTTGGAGCGAGCTCGACGTGCAGTCTCACAGGGCGAAGCCTATGAAGAAAGTGACGAAGAAGGGAGTGACGGCAACGACAGCGATGGACCTGGTTACTCTTTCCCGGATCGAAAGGATGGCGAAAGCAAGAAGCCAAGTGCTACTGCCGCATCGATCAATGGAAGCTCCAGGCAGCATGGCGGCGATGACAACAGTACAAGCGACCAAGCCCCCCTTCTTGGTATGAATGGGGAATCACGTCTGACAGTGCCGCCAGTCCTTTCGGGCGAGACTTTGGATAAACGTCTCAGAGAGCTGGAAAACGAAAATCAAGCCGCTATAACACTTGTCGATCACCGAAAGAAGGTAGCAGAGGAAATTCTCAAGGAGAATGGAATCAAGCTATCATCTTCAAGACCACGTGCGCAGATGAACTTTGATCACAACTCGTATCGTCAAGGTATTGAAGACGCCAAAGAAGTAGACATCAATCAAAGGGCGATTCGAGACGAGGTGAAAGTGAAAAGGGAAATGAAGAGAGAGTAGTTTGCTCTGAATACTTATGATAATTGCATATTTGAATACCGGGGTAGTAAATGGTATGTTTGTGTTCTCAAAGCAATCGTGCGACGCTATGCGCTCGTCCCGGTTCATGAAAACGGATCATATGGTGATGGTAAAGATACCGTATTGGGGGCTCAACGTTTGGTTCACAGAATGAATTAGTCAATCCACACTACATTTGAACGAATGAGCGATTCATCCATTCGTCCCCATTGTGGAAAGCAAAATAGGAGAAAAGGAAAACTTGATTCTATCCGTTTTAATCAAAAGGCCGAACCATTCATTCCCAGTCTCGAGTCTTCAATTCTTCTTGGCCATGTATTGTTGACACAAGGCACTTCGTATATAGATATAGCCTATTTTCTCGCCAAAGCCAATACACAAAATGCCAACAACAATGCCAACATTGGATTCGCAGCTATTGCTGCCGATGCTTCTTCGGTGGGACGTGCGGATGGTGCACTCATCGCGGATGGTGCACTCATCATGGAAGGTGCCAAAGTGGGAGAATCGCTTATCACAATCGAGTTGCAAGGAGGAATATTGTCCACACAAGGGAGGCCCATGTCATCACCACAACTCCATTGGATTGTTTGATCTTCGTTACTGACTATGGCAAGTTCGGTTATTGCCGATCCACTGCCTGTAATCAAACACTTCGAGTCGGGATAGTAGGTATTTTGTATGTCTACAAGGGCACAAGCAAGGGTCAGCACAGACGCATTGGATGGATTGGTATCATCACTTGTGCATTCAATCTTGATAAATGATCCAAAGGGGCACTCTTGATCGACGCTTAAGTAAGGATTGCACACGCAATAGTCATCGGTGCAAGCTTCGGACATGATGTCTGATGACGCAACTTTCTTGGCAGTCTGAAGTTGTGTTGTGAATGGAACCGTGCATATTGAATATCCGCATGCATGCGATTATGACCGACTGCAAACGCGACGGTCATAAAATCTTTTCATTTTCAAAAGATCGTATCTTCGACTAATATGATCGTTTTGTATTGAATTAGCCATTCCGACCACGGGGGGATTCATTCATTCAATATATTATTCGTTTTTGTCTTATTAGCCCGTCGCAACGTTACCCAACTCCTCAGATGAGACCAGTTCCTCCATCAACTTCCGCACAGTCTAACGTTTTACACATCTGTTTCTCATCTTCCATTGCGCAAATTGACAGGCAGTGCGTAGCTCTATGAAAGTTTTTTGTGTTGCGTCTTGTCCTCGCCTCCGGTTGGCTTCTTGGTGCGGTGAAGTACTAAGATGCAAGGATCGTCTACAGGTAGGAATGAATCGTACTGCTGGCAAGAAGGTTAGAAGGAAGGAGGCTGATAATAGCTCAAGAAACATCGCCACAACCAAAAATATTATTTCAAAAGTTGTGACTGCCGGCACATGCATTAGAACGAGGAGTCATCGCCTGAAAAAAAAACAAGACACCACAAATGCTTCCATGAGCCAAGAAAAGGAGGAACCTTCGACCTATTCTCATTGGACTGAAGATTGTTTTACCAGTTTGCGTTTGGAAAATTGGGAGACGAGTCCCTTTCTGTGCCATGCTACTACTACATAGAAGACTCACCTAGGACTATCGAGGACCCCTTGGATACATTGATCTTCCATACCTTTCGATTTTGCAAGAATTGAAACACTGGAGTGCCTCCATCAGCAGCATCATCGTGGTTATCATCGCCTGCAGAATCATCAGAAGCGAAAGGATCTCGTCCGCCCCTAAGAACCCAAAGCAATACTTGTATGCGTGCCCATTCTACCATCGACAATTCGTATTCGGTTGACTTAGGTAGGACCTAGAGCATACACTCGATTGGGGTCTATTTCAGTCTCTTATTCACGAACTATTTTCATTTTCGGATATATTCAATATGGTACTCCGCAATCAATGATCTCAAATCATCGGCACCAAGTATGCCCTGTTTATTTACCACGAACTTGTCGTTCATGACAATAATAAGTATTACGAGTATAAGTATAAAAGCTTATATTGTTACCTTCTATAAGACAGGTATAATAAGATGGCTGGGAAGCACACTTGATTTGGAAAAAATGGGACTGACAGTTTGAATTTTTCCAGAATGAATGAATGATTGATTCACCTCATTCATGATTGGATCGACGTAGCTATATATTCTACACAAGCCTCTCTTCTATTAACCAATACTTTCAAAGGTCTCGGTAGACCAATGATAGCCATCTTTACAATTGGCTTTGCTACTCAAGAGCAATTCCGAATTGCCAAAGACTAATTTCCCTTTCCAGTATGAGACGAAGATGCTAATGTTGATCCGTCAAAGCCAAGCACAGTCATCACTCGGCTTCTAGAACCCTTTGCGTCAGAGGTAACGACTTCTTTTAAATCCAGGTGCGGTCGAAGGCTTTCGCTTGGACAACATCGCATCGTTCGTTCAGAGTAACTAATATATACTTCTAGCGCTTTCGATCGCGCTTGGAAGCTAACTTCTAAAACAGTTCGACTCTTCTCATATGTAAATTGCGTCGAAGTACTAGTACGGATGAGAGAGATATAAGCTTCCTTTGCTATTGGACTTCGGTCAACATCTGCACCTCTATTAACGTATAAAATATCGAGTCTTGGTCCAACCACATGATTCGCTTCAATTTCAAATTGTTTAGAGTCCAAGCGATGGGGCGATTAGGATGATCAGAATCCGTGACTCCTCGGCACTTAACCTAGTTTGAATGCTTATGCAATACATATGCCATGATGTGTGGCTCCCAAAGCCTTGTTCGACCATCTGTGATTGAAGGACGACGACAAAGTTTCGGCGCGTCCTTCCAATTTCTACGCGGTCACGTAGAAATCCTACCACCGACTGTGCGGGGCACCAACTCCGACCTTGTCACGCGAAAAAACAAACGACTTTCCAAGATTGCTCATAGTTTTCAAATTTGAACAATTGCATTGCTCAATTTGAAAACCTTGACTTTGTATTATCATACATACATACATTCATTCATTCACCATCATCTGCCAAGACGACCATGAAGACCTTCTTCTCTCTTGCTCTCGCTGCCAGCAGTCTCTTGTCTGGTGCCGCAGCCCAACTCTTTGACTACTCTGCGCCTGCCACTGGTGCCGGGAAGTGTGCTCTCATCAACGTTGTAATGGACGAGTCCGGATCAATGGGTGGTGACCAAGCCTTCCTCCGGGGCGTGGCTCTTCCCAAGATGGCAACAGAGCTCCAAAGCACTGCCTATAACTACACCGACGTCTTTTTCTGCAGCGGCGGTTTCGGCCGTTCTTCTGGGGCCACCAATCCCCAGTTCTACCGCCATTTGGGCTGCACTTCCTACGATTCTTCCGGTGTCATTGCCAGTCAAGGCCCAGTCTCTTGGGTCGCCTCTGGCAGCGTCGAAGACGGCTGGGCTGGCATGGAGTTTGCCATGCGCGATGTCACTGCTTCCATTGATGGCATCGATCTCTTGAGCCACTGTGCTACCATTGACAAGAATCTCATTCTTGTGACCGATGAAGATCGCGATGACCGCTACAATGCCGTCACTGCCACCAGCATTGCCAACTTGATTGATGCCAATGGCTACGTCTTGAATGTCATTGTCAACATTATCATTGATGGCAACAACAATAACTTTGGCATGAAGATTGGAGGTGCGGGCTCCAACAGCACCATTTTCCAATACGATACTGCCGCCGCCGACAACTATATCACCTACAATGACCTCCGTCCCTACACTGACTATGTGACTGCGTACATTGCCACCCATCCTCACTACACCGAACTCATTGTTGACAAGCCCGGAGCTGTCTGGAGCGTCAATACTCTTCGCGCTGGTGGTCTTCTCACTCAGACCTTTGCCGATGTGTTTGTGGAAATCAAGGTCCAAGAGATCGCTGAATCTGGCGATGGAGGTCGTGGCGAGCTTGGCGGAGATCCTCACATCACCACCTGGCGCAATGAGCACTACGAGTACCACGGCCAATGCGACCTTGTCATGATGAAGGATCCCAACTTTGCCAATAGCCTTGGCTTGGACATTCATATTCGCACCAAGATTGTCCGTTACTGGTCCTACATCAAGACTGTTGCCATCAAGATTGGCAATGATATCCTTGAGATTGAAGGATCTCCCGATGCTCACGATGCCGAAGCTCATTACTGGGTCAACTACGAGTACCAAGGAGAGCTCGATACCTTTGCTGGCTTTTCCGTCTCCCAGAAGCTTCCTTCTGCCTTCAAGCGCTCTTATATCATTGACTTGAGCTCCAAGTATCCTGGACAATCCATTACCGTTCAGCTCTACAAGGAGTTCGTTCGTATCAAGCTCAATGGCAACGAGGCCATCTTTGGCAACACTGTCGGTCTTCTTGGCGATTACAAGACTGGAGCTACTCTTGGTCGCGACGGCGTCACTATCATCAATGATTTCACAGAGCTTGGTGATGAATGGCAAGTTCTTCCATCTGATGGCAAGCTCTTCCACGAAGTTGCTCATCCTCAATTCCCAGAAGCCTGCATCAAGCCCGAGGATCCTCGTGGTGAACGAAAGCGTCGCTTGTCCGAGTCCAAAATCTCCATTGAGCAAGCCGAGACTGCTTGTGCTGCTTTGAAGGATCCACTTGCCATCAAGGACTGCGTCTACGATATCTTGGCCACCCAAGACTTGGACATGGTTGGAGCCTTCTAGGTTGCTAGCTACTTCCGCGCTTTGTTTGCGAGAAGCCTCTAATCATTTCTGTCTTGTTGATCCCGTCTATCTAATACAACTGACTGGGAACCGAGATGGGAAGGACTGGTTGCTTCTTTCGTACTTTGTGCCCAATACATGTATACTGAATTGAATTTCACCCTTTGCTCTTGTCGCAAAAGCCAATACAAATAAGAACATAAGACCGAAATTACAGTCCACTTCTGTTTCTTTTGTTGTCCCTTCGTTTGCTTTCGCTAGAATCCCATTTCTTGTATCAATTTGACGATACCGCTAGGATTTTCCCAAGGTAACACATTGGTACCTCCAATCGTTTTCAGTGTACACGGCTTTTGATTTGCCCTCCTCGAGGATTGATATCCTTCTCGGTCGGTAGTTCGCTTGTCTCCATCGCCAGACACCACCATAAGTGGCTGCACCGATTCTTGCAGCTCCGCTTCAAAACTTCGATGTTGCAATAAACCAGCATTGAATGCTTGTACCGGTGTTCGGGCTTGTTTAAATTTGGATTCCTTGGCGGTTTCGTCCAACCATCTATTGTCGCATTTCTCGCTGAACAAAAAGAGATCCGAAAAGAATCTAATAATGGCTCTGTTTTCTAGAACGAAAAAGGCCAGGTTGCCCAATATTGGAGATCTCAGTAACTCATAGTTTCGTTGCAGCTCGGCTTGTGGGACCGCAGTAATGACATCTTGGTGTGTCGGTGGCGATGTCAACATGAGTGCCTTGACAGTATCGGGATTCCTGGCGGCTAGCATGATTCCAACTGGTGCCTGATAATGACGAATGGGAGCCAGAATGAAACTTATGAGATTGTAATGACTCAATCAAGCAACGTTTCTGGAGAAACAATCTCTTGACGCCCAATCAATGAGAACCTACCAATCCGCCTTGTACCACGACCAAACAGCCAGCCTTTTGCGTGCCGCCTCCTACCACTTCTTGCATCAGTGTTTCAATACCCTCAACCCAGCTTAATGGAAAGAAGAGTCCACCCTGTTGGAACCGCATTATGAGATCAAATTGGCATTAGCTTTGTCGTCATCGTATCTTTCCATGCATGTGACCAAAATGCAGAATGCGATCATAAAGTTACCTTCTCGGGATCCCAGGGGTCTGCACCATGTTCCAATCCACATCCAATCAGATCCGGAGCGTAAATGGGAGGATTGTTTTCAAAGGACTCCATAGCACGAATCCAGAACCAAGATGAAAGACCCACACCGACGGGATGAACCATAATTATTGGATCATCCTTTTCTCTTCCAGGGGCTGCCTTCTTGTACAAATATGTCAGTTTGAAATCCTTGTGCTGATACTGTTCCGAAGAAATGCTTGCTGCCAAGCGACATGTGTGATGATTTATTCGCCCACTACGGTGGGCACTGGTCTTTGTGTTTGGCAATGGGTACCGGTAACTGACGTCATTAAGGAATTGGACACAATCTTTAGTGGGCAGAAAGCAGCTAGAGATATCAAGAAGGATAAAGGACACAATCAAAGTGAGTCCTCTTGCATTGAATAGACTATTGTGGCTTATTCCTGGCATTGCCAATTGTCTGCGGGGGCTTCTTGGTTGCGGATGTATTTTTGTGTCTATTATTTTTATGCATTTTGCGATCTTATTTTGCTGTTATTTCAGTCCTGCGTCAGTAATAGCGTACGAGTCACGAACGATTGAGATTTTTCATAGAGTCAATATTTGAATCCATTAGTTCGACCGCTTTCTTCCGTCTATGATACTGTACGTTGTAGAACCCAGCTGCGTGCGACTCAAAGGACCAGTCTCAGATTGCCCGTAAAAACGTGTAATCTGAGACTTGCTTGTCTGCCAGGCCTTGACACGAAGATCGTGTCAAGGTCCAACAGGGTATGATGGGATGGGAAAGAAAGAAATAACTCTATCTTTCTGTCAATACTTGCACACAAGTTCGATATGAGGAGATCGGACTTGGTTGCTGTGGTGAAGACGATCGCCTGGCCGTCGTTCACAGAGTCAATATTGAATCCATTGGTTCGACCGATTTCTTCCAACTTGTAATCAAGCACATTATATTTACCAAAAGACACCGGCACGGTCAGTCTGACCTCCACCTCCAACAGGTCGCTGGAGAAGTGGAAGGAGCAATTGGGCCTTGAACAAAATTCCAAATTCCATTATAAAAATTAATTCCAAATTTATCGCAAGCACGTGCTATCGACTGTAACGACCAACGGTGAACATGCCCGCTTCCTCGCAGAAACACAAAAACACAACAGCAAAGACACAAAAACATTTTTTCCACCAAAACATCAACTACATGAGCAAACTGATGCTTTGACCCCCCTGCCTCTTTGTGGTCTCAACCCAGTCAACAAATCGAACGCTTCCGTTTCTTCACATCTGTAGTAGGCTAGTGGCATTCCACACTCCTCAGAGACAGGTTCCTTCATCCGCTTCTGCATCCTGAGCTTTTTGCACAACTGTTCCTCAACTTTCATTGCGCAAAGTGACAAATAGTGTGCACCATAAAAGGCCCATTGTGTCGTGCCAAGTCCTCGCTTTTATAAGGTTGGAGATTTGGTGCATTGAAGTAAATAAGATGACAGGACCGTCTACAGGAAGGGATGCTACTGCTGGTACTACAGCAAAGAAGAAAAGGAAGCCCAGGGAGACTGTGGTCCCTCCACAAATGAGCACCCGTTCCAAGTCAAAACAAAAGACCCAAATCAACCAGTCTCCCGGTGCCACTCTTGTTGACTGGTATAAAATGAGGAATGCACATCAGCCTGATGCCGAAAAATTTGTCAGCAAGCTCAAGTCCAAATATTTCACAATAGAGGGAAATGATTCTTATCTAAATTGGCAAGTTTTTGGAGGTTTTGCTGGGGCATGCTTCAATGCCCCGCCGTCCAACGTATGCTTCTTGAATGGATTGCTAGATCAAGGGCCCAACAAAATCGGACCAGCAGCGAATGGATTGCTAGATGAAGAGCAAAAAAAAATCAGTCCAGTAGAGAAAGGTGCACCTGCCGCCACAATAATGCGTGAAGACGGGGCACCCTTAGATTATTGGAAGCCATCCTCTCCAACAAGAAGGAGAAGAGACATTGATAATGGTGAGCCCAACAAAATCGGACCAGCAGCGAATGGATTGCTAGATGAAGAGCAAAAAAAAATCAGTCCAGTAGAGAAAGGTGCACCTGCCGCCACAATAATGCGTGAAGACGGGGCACCCTTAGATTATTGGAAGCCATCCTCTCCAACAAGAAGGAGAAGAGACATTGATAATGGTGAGCAAAGTTGGGCGCAGCAGTTGAGAATGAAGAGGGAGTTGCAACCTTTCATGGCAGGGAAAGAGTCTGAAGAGGTGGGAGAAAACTTTAATGAATTTCTGACAGGTCTTGACAAAATGTTACAACCCAAAGCACACAAAGAATCAAAGAAGCAGTTCAAAGCTCGAACTGAAAAGGCTCGAACCTCCTACCAAAAGAAACTGAAGGAACACTATGGTGATGTAGACCACAATGCATCCGAATTGTTAAAGAAATACAACATCGAGGAGCCAAATGCACACAAGTCCAAACCAGGCGAAATTTGGAAGATTCGGTATGAGTTGCCGGCACTCTGTTCCACTTGATCCATCATAATAGATCGGCCAATAGGTACAAGCTCTTTGAAACAATCTGAGTTGTGCCTTTTGTTACCCCTTTCAAGGAATAAGGGTGTATCCTCAAATTGGCGCAACTTCTTTTTCTTCCTCTCTCGATTCTTCATGTCATCATGGCTATGCATGGCTCCAGCGGAAGTGACCATTTTCTGATCTGGCTTTGCGGACATTGAACTGTGTTTGGCAGCATAGTTTAATCCCTCGGTTGCATTAGTAACATATTCCCCAAGGCACCGATGGTCTCGTTTCATGTAGTGGGCAAAGTTCTTTTCATGGGGCAGTACATCTGTGTCGACCCAGTCCATGAGTTTGCCGACGCTCTCCAGCCCCATGACCTCTTGTAGCTGTTCATTGTTCCGCAATTCATCCAGCAACAAGTTTTTGGAGAACATAAACTCTTCCTCAGTGAGACAGGAAGATCCGTCTGCCCAAGAACGGACCCAACCTTCAATTTCTTGCAGTATAGCCTCTCCCAATACCCTATTTTTGAAATAAGAAGGCGCAATGGATTTCTTTTGCAACGTTTTCTTAATGAGGTGGTGCCCACATCTACCCCGAAGTGCATTTGGTAGCAACTTAAGCATTGAATTTTCAAGAGCTGAGAATTCATTAGAATCACCATCAGTTAGAACCAAATTGACCCGCTCCAAATGCTCCTTGCCTAACATTGATGGGAGGGCCTCCTGAAAGACCCAGTTATAAAATGCGGAAGTTTCATTTGGCATGAACACACGCAGTATAACGAAGGCTTTGCCATCAGAGTCCCGACCACAAATGAGTAGAAGAGGGCGGCCTTCATTGTTAGTTTTGTGCGTGGCATCCATGAAAAGTACTTCTGGGTACCTCAAAAACTGGCGTTTGTCCTCCTCTACCATCCAGGAAGCCCCAATGAGAACACGGCTTCGGTTTGAGTTCACCCAAGGACATTTTGAATTGAGGTGAAGCCGTATCTCGCTTTGGGTTGTTAGCTGTTCCATGGGTGCAACAGATTTCAGCGGAATTTTGGTCTCCTCTTTTGACATTTGATTGATAGAATCAAGACCATCTGTCTCCCCTTCCTCGGTTGTACTATTTACGTTTCCAATTGTGAATAGTTGTCCACATGCTTCCTTGGCTTTGCTTGTCTTAGACAATCCGACAATTGGCGAGTGATCTGTGTATGTGAGGTTTTTAGCAACTTCAATGGGTGCCATGGGCGGATTGCTTTTGGATGGTCGTCCGACTGGCTTCCGGATGAAATCTGAAACAAGGTTGAGTGTCTCAGGTCTAATTTCATACGATAGAACACAATAAGACATCTTTGAATCACCAGGCTTGGAGGCTTCACGGCGGAGCCAGTTCAGAAGCTCAGAGGCTGATGACCGGCCAGTTCCCGGTTTGGCGGTTATAGCATCAGGGGCTGTTTCTATCACTCTTCTATGTGTGGAGGCAGATATGAAACCGTGTCTGAGTTCAAGTAACACTTTTCGTGCTTGAGTGCCTCCAACAAATGCATGCTGTTGGGCATAGATGATCCGACATTGTTCCTTTGTCAACAGGTTGGCAGGAATACTTAGTTCATCCACTGTTGTTCTTTGCCTACATAGTCAAATAAATTGACTGTCTCGTCTTCATGGTCAATCAAGCCTTTAAAGGGAAGTACGGCCTTCCACTGCAGCTCCCTTGCTTTTGCATTTTGTAATTGGTGTTCTAAATAACTTTGTGATGATGGTTCGGCCAAGAGAGACATGGGGAATGCGTTCTTTTCTAAGGCAATGACAACAAGTTATGATGGACGGTGACCTGGGAGAAGGGCGGGGGCAGGTTGTTTTCATGTGCAAAGCTACTTTTTTGGATTGTGTCATGTGTGTTGCTACTTTTTTGAGAGACGTCGGTGCCAAACTTATTTTCCGACTCTTTGTCTGTCCATCCACTCACATTATTCAAGCGACCTGTTGGAGGTGGAGGCCAGACTGACCGTGCCGGTGTCTTTTGGTAAATATAATGTGCTTGTATACTGTATATCATAATAATACCATGCACGGTTCCTCATTATAGTCATCTCAAAGAAGGAGAAACCAGACTTGAGGCGCGCATATACTACTTTAGAACGCAAAGAATGAAGGACAACGGACAAGACTCGGTTGAGAAATTACGCGAAGAGGCCCTTGTCTATCATGTTGAAGGAAACTTTCAAAAGGCAAGGGAGAATCTGGAGCTTGTGTTGGACACACGGACGAAAGAGCTAGGTGAAGATTCAGTTGCTGTGGCTGTGATACTCCATGATATTGGAATTGTACTATCAGATGAAGGAACTTACGATGAAGCTTTAAAAAAAAACTCAACAGAGCACTCGCGATACGTATGGAAAAATTGGGAAGGCATCGTGAGACCGCGGACACGTATATGAGCATTGGCATGATTCTTCAAGCACAAGACAATGACGAAAAAGCCGAAGAAATGTTCCAGAAAGCCCTGGACATCAAGCTCAAAATTCTTCCATATACAGATCCTGAAGTCACGGAACTGTATCATCATCTAGCCCATTCATTGAAAAAGCAGGACAAGTACTCAGAATCAACCAAGATACACAAACTCCAACTTGCTACACTGCTACAAGTACATGGGGAAGACCACCCCGGTGTTGTACTTTCATACCATGGAATTGCAGAGCTTCTGGCACTTCAACATAGGTCGGAAGATGCTCTACAGATGCTTGATAGAGGCATTGAAATTCGCAATCGATTAGAATTGTTGAAAGCTGACTTTGTACTTTTGCTGGGACAAACTTTTTCAAGTATAGCAGTCATACTAAGCAAACAGGGCAACGTCGAAGCTGCGACGGGGGTTCTCAACAAAGCGCTGATAATGCAAATTGAAACCGTAGGTGAAAGGCACTATACAACAGTACAGACATATGCAAAACTTGCAGTAGCATACGGCCAACTTGCAGAAGCATGCGTCAAACAAGATATAGAAGGTGCCATCAAGTCTTACGCGAAAGCCATCAAATTTCGTCGAAAGGAGCTTGGCAATGAGGAGCTCGGCGATGATCATCCCGAAGTAAAAAAGCTTATGCGGCCCCTTGAATTACTTCGGCTCGAGAAAAAAATGAGAGATCTGAACGAGCTAGGATTGGCCATGAAAGCGGACGGCGATTCAGAAAAAGCGATGCAGCTCTTCAATGAGGCACTGGATATTTGCTTGGAAAACTCCCTAATCGGTCCCACTACTGCAGCATTGCTCGAGAATATGTCGGCTATAAGAGTTGACCAGGGGAAGCTGGGACAAGCCGTTGCTACGAGTGCAGAAGCCCTCAAGATTCGTCGAAGGATGCATGGTGACGACCATGCTGACACGAAGTGACGCATGGAAGAACATAGATCTTTGCTGAAACTTCTCTTGGAGAATCGGGGTTAAGCGAGTGAGGTCCTTGGAGTTGCCTCTATCCAAAAAAGACTCTGGATTGGGTAGTCGAAAGATGGAAAGGTCAGCCACCTGCCGAGTCTGGAATTGTGTACCGGCACCCAAGAAGTTACGTCTGTTCATGTGACCGAATACAAATCCTCCCAATCGTGTCTGTCTCCCTATCAAGCGCAGTCGAGGAGTCGACACAGCATTGAAGTTGAGTCCGAAAATTGTTTCATCTCGCTTCTATCGTGGCTTCGAGTCCTCCATCGTGTCTCATCCATAAACTGCTGTCATCATGATACGACACCCATACCGGGTGGCCATGGAAGTATCGTTGGATGGGGCCTTGATGGAGGTTCCAGGGAAATTGTCGTCGCGAAAGAAATAAGATCATGAGATCCAATTGTAATAGTTATGTTTTTCGTCTAGCCATTCTAATAGTTATGCTTTTCGTCTACCAGAATGGCTATCTATCAAAGACATTTATGCCAAATATAAATCGATTGCGGCGACCGTGAAAAGACTCATCACTCTACGAATGATATATTGCCAAGACTTGCTTGCATTTGAGGACCAAGATTAGCGCCTCTCCAGCGTTAGATTACTTTCTCAAGGCTGAGTGGGTCACCAACAACCAAAGTTGGACCACTGCCTAGGAAAGATTGTCGACTTGTCTCTGGACCTCTTCATTCTTGATGAAGTCAAATGCACTCACGATCGTGCTGGTATCCTCAACTGCTGCTAGGTTGCCTTCCTCTGCAGGAACCTTCGCACTTTTTGATGCCCTAGAAATGTAGAGGAAAGAGAGCTAGTATGTAACATGCCACCTTGCAATTGCTGTTGTTCCTGCGACTGTGGAGTGTTGCTGTCTGGTGAATCTGTCTTTCTCGACAAATTCAAAGCACCATTGACAAGCTGCTCCTCCGATAAGGCGTGGGGGCAAGACGTAGATAGAAGCTGATCAGCTAGTATCGAATAGAATGATGGTCTTGTGAAGATTCTTTGTTATTTTGAATTTTCTGGTCGTTTTCAGCTGCAAACTGCAACCGAATTTGTCATGTTTTGGTTTGACGACATTGTTAGTTTGTGCCTAGTTGACGTTGCACATTCGATTGTGTATTCGACCGACAGCATGAACCCATCCACTATCTATTCACTCCCGCTGCCTTGTAGTATTCGTCATCTTTCTCGTAGTAACTTTGGCAGTCACAATTTTTCGGGTCTTTTTCGATCTTCCAAGCTTTGGAAATCGTATCCGTCAGCCGCTCCCCGGTCCAGAGTGGATATCCAATTCCGATGACGAAATATGAGCCATAAAATGCGCCGAGTGATGCCATGCCTCGTCGCACCGCAGCAGCTGCTGCAGGATTATTGGGATTGATGCCAGGCATTATGTTTGATTTTTGTGTTGAGGAGTTGCTTTTCAATTCTGAATTTTTGTTTTTGTGATGAGAGTCTTGATTTTTTTGACAACTCTAAAAATAGGCTATTCTTTCGAATTCGAAGTCATATGACTTTTGGCCTGTTCTTTGGTCTTTGTCCACTTCGGCTCTTTTAGTCCTGTTTTATTGAGTCACGAACTCATTCAGACCAATGCATTCTTCACTATCTTCCGATGATTTTATCCTATTCGTTGAGACGATTCAGATCAGATCTGAGCGCAGTTGTATCCAATGACATTTCTTGTGCGGAAATGTGTCATTTGTGCGAAACAAAACGAAACAAAACATGTAATAGAGATAGAAAATGGGGGACGATGATCATTTATTCATTCAATTGTACTTGTCTGGTGGGTATATGTGTACCGACTAATGAAACCTCAGACAGATAAAATCCTTGGTACACTTTCTTTTGCTAGTTACTATTGTTACAATGCTGGTTTAGGCACTCTTTCGTGCAATGATAAAAACCGCTGCATCCTTCTTGGGTTGCCATTCGTACTCGATCTCAAACTTGTTTTTGATCAGGCTTTCTTTCAAATCTTCTTTGGTCAGAGTATTGACATACGGAAGGGCACCGAAGAAGCTGCCAATAGGCAAGATGCGCTTTAGGAAAGGCGCGGAACCCATGCTTCCAACGCAGGTTGTGCTCGATACAAATATACCTCCAGGTTTCAACCACTGGTAGGTCTTGGCGATGGCTTCGTCTCGGTTCTTGAGCAAGTGCAGAATACTGAGTCCGAGGACAACGTCTTTGCTTTCGTTCTTGAGTTGCAGCTGATCGATAGACACTTGTTGGAATTCTACATTCTTTACTGGCGACGCCGCAAGCCTCTTGTGTGCGGCTTCGAGCATCTTGCCAGAAATATCAGTTGCGAGGATATGCTTGACGAATGGAGCATGGATTAGACTTGTTTCTCCTGTACCACAACCATACTCTAGGACCTCCATGTCCTTTGTGAGGTATTTCTGGGTGATACTCAGTTTCTTCTCGTATGCTTCCTGATCGTCAATAGGCTGCTTAGCGTATCCTTTGGCAAATCTGTCCCAAATTTTGGCGGTCTGACCTGATCTATCTTCCGGAATATTTGTCATGGTATCGAGTTTGTTATTTGCCTTGAGTGCTAGTGCGCTTGAAGTTGCTGTTGTAATAAAGTCACGACGTGAGAGTGGAGAAGAAAACAAGAGGGTTTGGAATGTGATGAGTGCTCTGAGAGTCTTCTTTGTTTGCATTATCGGTATCAGTGAATTTGTGAGAGCATCATGGCAAAATCCAAAGGAAGTCGTGATGGCATCGTATCTTGTATTCACTCCCGAAGTGAAGTTCTTGGAGCTAGTCGTTAAGAGGTTTATTGTTTGGAAATGGAAGCGGATCTTTTGCGATGTTCCAGGAGTCAGTCGTATTGCGCGCCCTTTCGTCAACCGGTGATGAGAACAGGGAGGAAGACTACGGGTACCAGGTCACTCTGTAGTTGTCGTGTTTAAGTCGCATGACAGACGCTGTCTGTACTTCGTTTGTCCGTAACAGTGTTAACTAAAAAAGTCTCAAAACACGATTACTACAGAGTGGGTACCAGGTACCGTAATGTACCTTCGATGAGGAAGTCTTTGATGTTCGTCCGATAATTTCCGTTTGCAACACAATTCGGACACAAAATAGAAACTCTCCAAGTACAGCAGTATTTCCAAAACCACAACACATGAACCTAAAAAATCCCCAAACACTCCAAGCAACACTTTGTGCTGTCTTCCGTGATGACGATGGTTACGATGCCTCTCAGACTATCAACTCCTTGAAACAAGACTCTCCAGAGACCTACCGTCAACTGTTGGGCGATGTTCTCATCGCTTCTAATGTCAGCTGGCGTCAGCAAACTTTGAACTTGATTGATGCGATTTGGAAGGAAGAAGCAGAGACTCGCACTAACATTCCAGTTCAAGATGTGATGAAGCACCCTTGCGCTGCTACTGTTGGGTCGACCAAGATCTCTGTATGGAAGGGTGATATCACCAAGCTTGAAGGAAAGAACCTGGCGATTGTGAATGCCGCCAACGATCAAGGACTAGGTTGTTTTGTTCCTCAGTATCGATGCATTGACAATGTGATTCATCGAGAAGCCGGTCCAAGACTTCGCATGGAATGTCAGAAAGAAACGAATCATCGTAGAACATCACTGTCGACTGGAACTCCTCCAATTGTAACTGCTGGATATCACTTGCCAAGCGGTCATGTGATTCATGCCACAGGTCCAAAAGTGCTAAAGAATAATGTCGATGGACTGACCAGTAAGGATCGAGAAGACTTGAAAATAACCTACGAACTTGTCTTGGAAACAGGCTCCAAGACTGATGGGATTGGTAGTGTTGCTTTCCCTTATATCTCTACCGGTACCTTTGGATCCACAAGAAGATGCCACTGAAATAGCATTGTCGACAGTTCGGCACTGGTTGGAGAAGCACCCAGAGTCTAGACTTGATCAAGTCGTCTTCAATGTGTTTACCAATGCGGATTGGGATCTATATCCAAAACATTTTCCAGTTTTTTCTACTTCAGCTGCAGATATCACCACTACACCAAGCCTTCGCGACAGAACCATTGATCTCGCAAAGCAATGGATCGAGGATGCGGATGCCGTATTGATTTGTTCTGGTGCTGGCATGAGTGTCAAGGAAGGCGAAATGGTCTACACAAATCCCGATGATTTCACTAGAGCCTACCCTTGGTTCCTAAATGGGGCTACAAGACCAGCTACGAATGTATGGGGCTATCAAGAGATCGAGACGTTCCTCCAACAGCCAAGTGGGCTCTGAACGCAAAGCATATGGACAACATGCGCTGGAATTTTACTCCGAATGAAGGCTACGACCAGTTGTTGAAGCTTGTGGGACAGAAGGACTACTTTGTTCTCACTTCCAATGTGGATGCTTGCTTTGAACGCAGTGGTTTCGATGCTTCCAAGATCTACACTCCGCAAGGCGAATGGACCTGGTTGCAATGCCTCGATACATGCCAGCCAGATTCAGTGTTTGATTCGCGCCCATATATTGATAAAATACTTCCACACTTCAGCGAAGATGGTATGATCCCTTAAGAGCTCATTCCAAAGTGCCCCCGTTGCAACAGTGACATGTTTGGTAATGTGCGAGGCGGAGGCTGGTTTCTCCATCACAAATATGCCCATCAGGCTGAGAGGATCCAACAATGGATGCAGGCAAAGATTGATGGTGGCATCGATCAACCGATAGTTGCCATTGTCGAGATTGGCGCAGGCTTCAATACTCCCACTGTGACCCGCTTCCCCGTCGAATCATTTGCGCGGGAGCTTGGCGATCGAGCAAGATTCATCCGAATTAACCCAACCGAGCCGGAAGTACCAGAAGATCTTACAGCTGTTTCACTGGAAGAAGGATGGCAGGTACTGTTGGACGTTGCCAAGAGCAGCGGCGTTCAGATCAAGGGATCAAAGGAAGCAGACGAGCGTAATATCAAAAATGATTTGAAGCATTCCAGTCTCCTTGTCCCCAAGGCAACAAGCTTGAGCTGTCGGCGATATTTTGGCCACTTCGACTGGAGACGCTTTCTTGATCAGCTCCGAAGGGATTAGGATAAAACAATTTACTATTTACTATAACCACATGTAATTAATTAACAGCACTATTATACCACATACACACAGTTTGTCTTCGTAGAATCTCTTTCTGTCTTTTTGTGATGGTCGTCGCCTCTTCAAGATTGACGAATACGCCAATTTGCAGCAACAAAATTAGTCTCTCTTTCTGCTACTTTGGCAGTCTTGTTACTCCTTGTCTGCAGGCCAAAACTTTATCCCCACTGAATTGTAAGATCTTTCTAAACGTTCAACACCTTCTGGGTCTGTTTTCATCAATGCTTCCTTTGCCTCCCGTTTCCCGGCTATTCCCTCCTTGACCATTGCTGCTGTTCGCTCTTTGGGTCGGACAAAGAATCCTGACGATTGAAGACCGCCATCAATCTCTCTCTTCTCATCCCACAAGACTTTGACAGTGTTGCCTGTTTGAATTTGTCCGCCTACCAAGACTTCACAGGAGACACCGGCCACGTCAAAAATCGCCTCCATTAGCCCTGGGATATTATTTTTGCGTTCATTGTACATGCATGGTACGCAATTCCGATGTGCTACTACTTGACAGTTGTCCCCTAGTCGAATAACATGTCCAATTGAACGAAGCAGCTCCTCTCCTGATATTCCTTGGAGGACAACATTTCGTCGCAAATTGCCAATGTCTGGGCATGTCATACCTTGTTCCCGAAGAGTGCTATTGACAGAATCAGCTGATATCAAAGTGATTTGTCGACCAGCTTCTTTTTCTCCTTTTCGCAAACTGGATCCTCTCAGACAAGAGTACGTCCCAGTGGAGGAACAATAGCGATCGCCTTCAATCCCACATCCTTCAATCAGTATGGCTTCCTCCAATGATTGCATGGGTGCTGAACCCTCAGTGGCAATGAAAATTCCTTGAATAGACATGAATCGTCGGTTGATACTTGTCTTCTTGTATGTCCAATGACAAAATAGATGAAAAAAAGAGTTCTGAAAAATTGGTTTGAATCGGACGAGTCGTAGATTTGCTTTCGTGCCAGCTCCATCCCCTACCATGGGGGATTATTACGAGGCCAAAAAGTCTTACGAGGGACGTTAGTAGTGTGAATGCGAATGTGTTTGCAGTTGCATAGTGTTTGCAGAACTAACTTTGCTGCACTGTTTTTTTTTTCAGCCGTGTCTTCCATACGCAGCGTTAGTGTATTTTTTCTGCTATGCATGAACGATCATCTAATATTCGACATATATAAACGCCTGGTCGACAGAATGGGAAATAATAGACACCAGTTTTCTATTATTTCTATTTCGAACATGATGATCATGGTTGCCCTTTCTTAGCTCGACTGTTTGGCCAAGGCAGCCATGGCTCGTTTCATTGCATTAGCAAATGCAGCCCGTTCTGACATGGGGATTTTGGTTTGACTGTTGCTTTCCATTGCAGCTGCCATGGTTTCTAGAGTATTGGTAGCAATCTGAACAAGGGCAACTTCGGGAGATAAGGAACTGCCACTTGAGGCACCAGTCGTTGATGACGTAGCTGACGCCATTACTGAAACTGGAGAAGATGATGGTACTGACTGATTTTGCTGCTGGGGCATGGTGGTAGCGTTGCGTGCAAATACTCCCATTTGCTTAGCTTGCAAGTCTCGTTCCCTTTGCCGACTCGCCCAAAAGTCGGGGACATTCGAAGAGGAGACAGAAGTACCAGAAGCTTCATTCGTTGTAGATGTATTGGACTGCTCTACTTCCTTGGCTTCTTTCAGACGTTCCATCTCACTGAGATAATATTCGCGCACTTGATCGGTCGACTTGTAAGTTGCACTCGCTGCTCCATCATAAGAATTCTTGCTGGCAAATTTGGTAGCAGCTGCTCCACCAAGTTTCATGTCTTTTTCAGACATTGTGTTGTGTCGATCACCCCATCCGATTGGTAGGCTCATTTTATCCAGTGATTGTCAAGACGGTTGTATAGTGATTTATGTTATGACTATGATGATGATGAAGACATATTTTATTACGACGATGTTATATTGATGAGTGCGTTTATTATTTGTGGTGGCTGTGACATCATCATTGTGACGGGTCGAATGATTCGATGGGCTGAAATAGGTTTCTCTTTTTACTCCCTCTTTCAAAACAATGCAATTCATAGTACGAAAGGTATGGTACTCGATGATTCTTCGCGCAGAAGGAAGGAGTTCGACTAGACCCCATCATGGTATTGGGCGCTGTCGATACTAGATTGAAAGCGAGGACAATATTACACCACTCTAGGAGCTTGTGCCAAACTCCCAGCCAGCCACGACACTCATATCATGGTGGTACTACGTACTAACTGACAGAGACAATAGCGAAAGATGAAGACAACTTCTAATATTCACAATACATTTAGCTCCTCCTCAATCAGGCACCGAGGTGAAGGCAAGGAAGTTGCATTTCTCGGTTCTTATTCGACTTCGTTAAACAGAATCAATCGATTCACTTATGAGCAAGAAGTACAGCAGCCGCAGATAAACTCTGTGGAGTCGCAACTGGAGGTCAAGGTAGGCAAACCAAGGTCACAAAGACCAGCTGGAATGCTTCCCGAAAGCGTATTCCCGTCCAACGTCAAAGATCCTAATAAGCGAAAGACAAAGAATTAGAAACCAGAGTGGAAGAATACACAGCTGACGGTTGGCAATACTTACGCAGATCCAACAGGCCGCCGAACGAGTTTGGAACAGTACCCGTGAAAGAGTTATCGGCCAAGAGTAAGTTACTCAAATTGCTAAGGTCTCCAAGGCCCGCAGGAAGAGGGCCGTTCAAGGCCAAGCCACTCAAATCTAGAACCGCTAGGTTACTCAAACCCAAAAATTCGTTGGGCAAGAATCCAGTAACCTCGCCACTAGTCAACTTGAACTCTTCCAGCTCTGTCAACAAAGTGATGGCTGGAGGCAGGGTTCCCGCGGTGGCTCCTCCAGTGAAACCGACGGAAAAGTCAATGCTTGTCACTCGTCCACCTTCATTACAAGCGACGCCAGCCCAGGCACAGACATCTCCAGCGAGCCAGTTCTCCGCAAAGCAATTTTCGGACTCCAAGCCACAGCTTGTCCAGGATTCTCCATTCAAGGAAAAGTACATTGCAGTGAGAGCATAACGATCACCAAGTTCGTCTTCATCTTCCACAGGACCTTGGAAAATGTATGGGTCGTTACTGGCCATGTGATCAGCAGCCTTGTATTCGGCGCTGTTGGTATCTTCGAACGGGGCTTCCCCAAATCGTGGAAAGAGGAAGGTATTCAAAAATTGTCCCAAGTTGACTTCCGTCGGTGCTTCAGTGGGTCCTGAAACAAAAGGAGCTGGTGTTGCTCCGGGCGCAGCGGGGGCGGATGTAGGACTTGTAGGTGCGGTGGGACTTGTTGGCTCCGAGGGACTTGTTGGTGTGGTTGGAGTGGTAGGAGTGGTAGGCGTAGTTGGAGATGAGGCTTGTGGAGCCGGTGTGGGGGTTGGACCAACGTTGCTGCCGCCATCATTGCCACGGCTGACCTGGGTAGCTTGGAGGGACGTCCCGCCGCCTCCATCCATTAGATCGATGGGAGCCGCAATGGCAGCAGCGAGAACGGCAAAAAAGAGCAAGCAACAGAAGAAAGTGACAAAAGGATTGGTTCCATCGTCTTCCTTGGGTTTCCTCGGAGCGGCCGTGAATTGAACTCCACGCTCCAAGTCTCTGTCGGCCTCCAAGTCTCTGTCGGCGGCCCCATCTGGTGATGCACGGTCCCCATCCTTGGATTCTCCATCTTCATCGATAGTTTCGACATGGGTGCCAGCTGGGGTTCCAACGGGAGACGCTGTCTCTTGTCCCGCAGCTTCGCTTTCGGTATGTTCTTCGATTGTAGGCAAGCCTTCGTCCACAATTTCCTCGTGAACGCTGTCGTCGAGGACTTCTTCTTCCACCATCCCATCGTCGGAACCAGAGCCGGAGCCAGAATCAGAATCGTCATCATCCGAGCCGGTGTCATCATTTGATTCTTCGTTTTTATCCTCTCCTGACTCTTCCGGCTTTTCATCGTCACCAGATTCCTCCTTTTCTTCAGTGTCATCGCCGTCAGAACCAGTGGTGGGACCAGCGTCGGAACCGGTGTCGGACCCGGTATCGGACCCAGTACCAGAACCAGAGCCCGAACCAGCGCCAGAACCAGTATCTGACCCAGTGTCGGAACCAGTCCCAGAATCAGTGGTAGTATCCTCGTTGGTTCCAGAATCGGTTCCAGATTCGGTTGTAGTGTCCTCGTTGGTGTCGGCGTTCGAACTAGTGTCCGAATCGGAATCGCTGCTGCTGTCTGGCATTGTTGTATTTCTCTTTTCTTATTGTCAAGCTGCAATGGAAAGCAAATGTGTGACTTTTTGATTTGTGACTTCCTGCTTTATCTCCTTTGACAAGATTGAGGTTTTTGGTTTTGTGTTGTCGACCCAAATCTTTTTTGGTGTGGCACGCTCATGTTGTCACCATCGTACTTAGCGATGTGACATGCATTCGCACAGTTTGTTAAGGCTTTTTCCGAAACAATTTGGTCGCCAGCAATGCTTCTTTTTGGTGAGTTCCGAGTTCACGAATAATGCAGTCGACCCAGACGAGTGACAGAGATTCGCAGTCGACCAAAAACTCATCTATGATCCAAAAATTCCAACCGCACGTTTTCTCTTTGACAAAATGATGACACCAAATTGAGGAAAACCTCACATCATCTGAGTCCTCGCCATTTGCAGCATCACAAACGCAACAAAAGACTCTCAAGAGAAGGAAATGATGAAAAAGACTGGAGGAATGCTGAAACTCTTACTTTCCTGCTACCGTAGTCTTCCCAAAGTCATCCAAATTGGCAAGCTCGATTTCACTTTTACATTTGTCAGTTTTGCCGCCCTATCAGTGATCCGTACTATCTTCTTTCAACTTCTCACCGCCTACTATGGCTGGCCAATTCGATCCAAAATGACCACGGACGCTGCTGCGTCTTTGGCGTCCATTGTGCATTCGATTGTCCTCTGCTGGTTGCTGACGGAATGGTTCTGGAAACTAGGTTTTAGGGCCTACTTTCCCTCGGGGAAACTGAGTGATCACAATTCAGATATGAAAGATTCCGCCGTAGCATGTCTTCAAGTTTGTACTGGTTACATGCTGTTTGATGCACTTTGGCTAATCGGAAACTCCTATCAACTGAATATCCTACCCTTGACAGAATTTGAAACACTTGTCTTGGCCCACCATGTACTGACAAGTTTCTACATGATTTCTTGCCGCGTTATTGGAGCTGGTCACATTTCGGCCATGATTCTAATGCTGACAGGGGAAATTAGCAATCCGCTCATGAATGGAATGTTTGTGACGAGGTTTGCAATCCAATTGGAGTGCTGCAAGCATTCGGAATTCATTGTCATGCTACACTCTCTGCTGGAACCTTCTTTTGCAGTAGTCTACATTATATTTCGAACTACCATTGGCCCAGCTTGTGCGATCCATCTGGCTTGGGATGTATTGTGTACCAAACAGGGTCGGCAGAACATCCCATTGCTTCTCAGTGTGTTCTGGGTGATCATGGTGATCGGTGTATTGGTTGGCAGTGGACCGTTCATCGGGGAGGCAATCGAGATGTTGCAAGATGGCTGGAAATTGAAATATACACCGGACTATGACTATGGCGACCGGTATAGGATACATGGTGGGGATGAACTTTAAAATTGATTTTTTGAAAACATTCATCTAGTCGTATTCGTGAACATGTATTATTCCAACCTATGTTGAGATGGTACCATCAAATCTTGACGTGTTGCCAATCATAAAAGTCGATCACAGTAATAGTTGACAATAAAAATGAAATCGTCGTAATAGGTGTGCGTTCTTAGTAGTCAGACGCATCATAACGATAATCCTCATCAAGACCTCGGTAATAGCTGGAAGAGCTGTTTGTATCACTGTTGTCGGAGTTGGAAGAGTATGAGTCTTTTATGTCCCTACCACAAAATTCAATGATCGCTGGAATGCTAAACAATGCCCCACACCCAAAACGACAAGCACTCCGAACTACCGGGCCTTCGCCATAAGTGTTTGCGAAAGATAACATAGCCATTTTCCAAAGCCACATCTCAAGAAGAGAGATTTTCTCGGCATTTTCATACCCTTCTTGAGCAGTACACAGACTTCTCAGTCGTTCCAATTTTTCTTCCCCACTCCATTCGGAAAACAATGCGGCGATCCTCGACGTCATGTCGTTCCTAGCGACCTCGTTGGCTCGAACGAAAGACCGATTCAAGGTCCATGCTTCAATGGTGACCTTCATCAAGTTCTTTGACTGTGTCGTACAGCTCGATACCAAATAGTCCAAAGCGCGCTTCCCGCGACTGTCTTTCATTCCAATCACGGCCGATGGATAAGCATCTAGTAAAACTTTCAGCAGATCTAGCCTTGGTGTTGCTGACGATAATAGAACATGAAGCGGTGTCATGCCGAATGAATCCACCAGGTTGCTGTAACCGTGCTGTTGGGAAGTATCCTCCACCTTGCTGTACTCAGCTTCCTCGCGGAGCTCCTCCACTGTAGTCACCGAGGCATACAGGCATTTCCTGTGGACTGGATGCTCTTGCCAACGTAACGTTGTGAGATGTCCTATTTCGGCAGCGCCCCGTTGCTCTTCTAACCGGTCGCAACCAAAAAAGGAGCCATCTGTGCTCTGTGAAGGGATTGAGATGTTTGCGAGTGACCTGCAGTTCCCGAACGAGTCCAAGGAAATACTCATTGCTCTTTGATATGGAAACTCAACAGACACCAATCCAGAGCAACCCCAGAACGTCGCATACCCAATCGTCTCAATTGATTGAGGGAGAGATATTGCTCGCAGTCGCATACAACTCTTGAAAACGGAGTCTTCGAGAGTCAACAACCGAGGAGACAGCTTCACATCTGAAAGAGACTTGCACTTTCTGAAGCAACAGTGTCCGATGGCTACTACTGTAGAGGGAATCTCAATTCCATGCAAAGCTGTACAATCCTCAAAAGCAGAATACCCGACCCTTCTTAGCCCTTCCTTCAGACTCACTTTCTCCAAAGAAAAGCATTTTTTGAAGGAGGACGACTCGATTATTTCCACGGAGGAAGGAGCATTGAGCACCTTGATAGAGTTGCAATGTGAAAAAGCTTCCTGGTGAATTTCCTTGAGCCCTTCTTTCAAGTCGAGTTTCATCAAGGAAATACACCCTTGAAACGAATTGCGTCCAATCACTTGAACTGATGACGGAATACTGATATTTTGGAGCGACACACAGCTGACAAAAGCACCATGTCCAATCTCTTTCAAGCCTTCCTTCAGATTCAAACCTGTCAGACAATCGCACCGACTGAAAGCCATAGATCCAACAGTGCCCACCGAGGCCGGAATATCGACATCCTTTAAAGATCTACAGTCTGAAAACGCTCCATCTCCGATAAGCTCCACCGATGACGGCATATTTATGTCCTTCAATGAAGAACACTCTGCAAAGCTTCCCTCTTCAATTCTCCTCAAACCTTTGATGAAATCCAAATCAACCAAAAAGTGGCAGCGAACGAAAGCATGAGCTTCGATAGCCCCTACAATCGATGCAGTCTTCACACGTTGCAAAGCAAAGCAGTTTTTGAAGGCACACTCACCGATAGTTTTTTGTCTTCCCATCAGCTCTACTTCGCCTAAATCTGCACATCCAGAGAAAGCGCCCGATTCGATAATCTCCACAGTCGCCGGGACCTTGACTTTTGTCAAGCTTTTACATCCTGCAAAGGCGTAAGCTCTGATCGTCAGCTCTGATCGTCTTCAGTCCTTCCTTGAGATCCAGCCCCAATAAAGATGCGCAGTCTTCGAATGCAAAGTCTCCGATCTCTTGAACTGACGAGGGCGTCTTGACGTATTCTAGCGACAAAGACTGCTGAAAAGATCTCTGTCCAATATTCTTGAGTCCCTCCTTCAATTTTAACGCAGTCAAGGATAGAGCCTCACTAAACGCGCCGTTCTCAATCGTTTCCACTGATGACGGTATATTGAGCTGGTCCAAGGAGAAGCATTTCTCAAACGCCCATTGCCCAATCTGTTTGAGCCCTCTTTCAAGGTGGAGGTGAGTCAAAGATGTGCATCTGCTAAATGCATAGTCTTCAATTACTCTCACAGTACGGGCTATCTTGACTCGTTTCAGGGAGATGCAATTTGCAAAAGAGTAGGCTCCAACTGCCTTCAAACAGTTTTCGAGATACAATTCCACCAAAGATGCACAATTGATGAATGTGTTACTTTTGATTGTCATCAAAGATGAGCAGATGCTCACTATTTCCAAAGACCGACAATATGCGAAAGCATGCTGTCCTAAAGTTTTCAATCCTAGTCCCAAATCCATCGCCGACAACGATTTGCATCCGTAGAATGCGTTGTCTCCAACTTCCTCTACAGATGTTGGGATCGCAGTTTCGTACAAGCGCAGGCAATGCGAGAAGGCGAAATGACCTATTCTTCTTAGGCCTCTCGCCAACTGTAACTCTACTAACGAAACGCACTCCGTAAATGCTGCATCCTCAATTGTTTCAACAGTGGATGAGATCTTGATTTCTTTTAGCGAAAAACAGAATGCAAAGGCAAAATTGTCGATCTTCTTTATCCCCTCTGTAGATGAACTTCCGTCAACGAAACACAACGACTGAAGGCACTTTGCCGAATGGTATTTATAGTGCACGGAATTGTGACTCCTTTCAATGACCAACAATATTCAAACGAACCTTGCCCAATCCTCTGCAGGCCCTCTTGCAGGTGAATCTCCGCCAAACAATGGCATCCATTAAATGCATTGTCACCAATGACTTCCAAAGAAGACGATATTTCGATGCGTTCCAATGCTGTGCAATTTTGAAATACTTGTTTTCCAATGTGTTTCAGTTTTCCACCACCGACCACCTCTTTCAGATGCCCACGTCGAAAGCACCATTTGTTTGGGAGCTGAAGAACATCGTTACCAACATTGATTCGATCCACTTTGCCCGAAATTGCTTGCTTGCTCTTGTGTTTATAGGTCTAAGATCTCATGCCATTTACTGTAGCCGTATTGTGGCAACTTATTGATCGAATGAATGCAAGAAGTACCAGTACGAGGCTTTGCATGATGCCAAACTAGATACTGTACTGTATGTTACCGGTACTTTTCAGTAAGTCTGTACGAACCGTACGGTATAGTACCGGCATTATATCCAACGCTCTGGGCGATGACTATTTTTTATTTTTTTAGTATAAATAATCCCGTAGTTGGAAACGGCTAATTCAGTACAAAACGATCATATTAGTCGAAGATACGATCTTTTGAAAATGAAAAGATTTATGACCGTATCGCGTGTGCAGTCAGTCATAATTGCATGCATGCGGATATTATGGTTCCATTCATTCGCAACACAACTTCATGCCCTTCAGATAAATCTCAACAGCAATGGCAGAAGACGAAATGGAGCGTTTGGTCAATCGCTTGGACGAGCTTGAGAAAAAGTCCAATGCAGAGATTAGCAATTTGAAAGAAAACCTCAAGCAGGCACAAGAAAAGAATGAAGCCTCCGAGTTGAAACTGGGAGAACTAGAACAACGTGTTGCGCAGCAATCGCAGGACGACCAAACATTCTTGCTTAGTTCAAACAGTAACAGCTCGCAAGCAAATCGTGGCACTTCGTGGCATGTAATTGGCAACAATGACCAAGCGTCTTCGAATGCTTTCAAGCAGCCGCAATTCACGCTGCCCACTGACCTCTGTTCCGTGTTTTGTGCCACATCATGGAAAGGCTTTCCTTTTTGGCTATCCGCATTGATCATTGCTGGTCTCCAAGTCTCATTGTTTGTGTTGCTACTCATTGATCGTGTTGGTTCCAAACGTTGGGTAGGATTTGGTGCAGAATGCGATGAAAGCGACGGTAACGACATCTATTGTCGACATGAACGCCCGCTTGGTATGCCCACAAATGTGGAACCCTTGGTACGAGCAGCACAGGCTTTATGTCTCGTGTTTGCGCTGTATGATCAGCAGGGCGTCTTCGATGGACTTGAAGGATTCTTTGCTGGTATGCCAGTGGACTACAAGGGCAGCACCAATTTTCGGAATATGACTCTCGGTCAGTGGAACTTGAGTTTCTTCTTGCGATTTCTACAAGGCTTTCTGGGTGTACTCTGCGCATTTGTGTTGCTCGTACAAGCCGAGACAGTTTTCGACGTTCTGCTCAATTTCCTTGTGAGTTCTGATGAAACCAGGCTGTATCTCATATCTTTTTCAACCCATGACCTCATTCTTGCTTTTCACTTTCTGCTCTCAATCTCACATCCGAAGGGCGTGAAATTCATTTCAGGTAAGTTATTTTTGTCATATCCAATGTGGCTAGATTGATTCCTTTGTCCATCTTACTCACCCGACTTTCAGAAATGGACAAGGTGGCATTTCATATTGGTCTCAAAGGGTACTTTGGCACTGCCATGCAGGAAGCGGCGGAGGATGTGGCCGGAACGTACTTTCGCCGCGAAGAAGATACCCGTCCATGGGGGGCTCGTAACATTCATGTGATCATTATGATGGGCATGTTGGCAGTGTTGATTGCTTGGTTCGCCCACCTTGCAATTCTGCAGACAAGTGGTACCTATTTGGTTCGACACTTCCACGTGGACTTTGGAAAGGATCCTCTTCTTTCCTTGTTCAATGGATGTTATTCAGCATCGGACGATGGGCTGCTCAACAGCCGATTGTCGTATTCTCAGATTGGAACTGAGGCCAAGTTTGGATTTTGCAAAAAAACAGACAAGAGCGAGAATGGAGGATGGACTCTGTATTTTGGATCCTCGCCCTGTCCTTCTGATTTTAATTACAACGAGGTCTTGGCCATATCTGAACCGACCGAGTCCTTCGACTTGCCCTTAGTGGATCCCACCAAATGGTCCAGACAAGATGGTTACAATCGTTTGAAACCAGTTGAAGTGGTGCACATTGACGACTATCGAACGGAATGCTATGACTCTGCCGTTGCTCGAGAGGAGCCAGACTTTGACTCCAAATGCCTCGTTTTCAATGCCACTTACGAAAGTCGCCAGAAAACCTTTGAAATGTTGGTGACTGAACCGAGTGCGGAATATCCTTGTCGAGACCCCACAACCTGTCGGCCCATTTATGTTAGCAAACCGGATGGTCCTGCTTATTCTAGCGATGTCGACATCATTTATTATACTGGCCAATTCTGGGCAAACTCTCGAGCGACACGGGACTTAGAAATTGAATATAGTGGGGAAGACGTGACGAAAGATGATATTCGCAACTTCTTTTACAAAGGAGATGGCTTCAAGATTGTGACTAATTCCAAATACAGAACCACAAGGTACATTACCCTCCCAGACGGTGGGTTTCGGTCACCTATCTATCTAGATTGGTATGAGCCGGAGCATCAATACATTACCTACTACAATAGCGAGTCGGAGTATCTTTTTTACTACCTCCCTTACGCAAATCTAGAGAAAGAAGCCGATTTGAAGTTCGAGTGCGTGGGTGATTACACAGATGCGAAAAGACGATGCTTCGAGAACGAATTTTCGTTCGGTGATGCTACGTGCCTATGTAATGAACCCATTCCAGATGCTTTTGATCTATCAACTCCTCGGGGCATGGCAGTTCAAGATATCAAGAACGACCGCCGTGCAATTGAAATGTGCGCGGAATTTGCAGCTGATGACAGTAGTTTGGTGGTGAGAGGTCTGATTCAGGAGAGATACGCCCTCGCCGTGGTGAAGAATACTTTTGGTATTGAGTCGCAGGGATGGGACGGAAACAGCTGCACATCTTGGTTGGGAGACACGGTCGAGCTGAAGTGCGATAACCAGACTAGTGTACAACAATTGATCTTTTTGGACTCGGACACAGTAAAACATTCAGGTACAATACCACCTGAAATGCAATTGCTGTCCAATCTGGGTAAGGTTCAAGTGATTTTCAATTACATACACTCTATAACCGTTGGGAACTCCACGATCTCACTTTCTCTTTGCTTGTACAGAACACTTGGATTTGGGTCAGAACGCCATTCGCGGTCATATTCCAGAACAAATTGGTTTTCTTGGAGCATTAAGTACGTACCTCTTGTGAATGCTCGCATCGGTTGTGCATCGAACTCATGGAAAGCACTGTTGCCTTGTGTTCACTTTGCTTGCTCCTATTCGTTACAGCCTACCTCGATTTATTCGATTGTAGTCTTACTGGAGTCATCCCTGGTGGGCTTGGATATCTCTACAACTTAAGTGAGTGCCTCTATTGTTTCATCTGCCACCACGACTTGTTGCAGTTCCGTTGTGGTTTCAAAGACTCACACGAATCATAATCTTATTTGAAATCTATCGATACGCACTGCAGAATCTTTGTACTTGTCTGAGAACAAACTTTCTGGTCAAATCCCAAATTTTGGACATCTGGAAAACCTTGAGGTCCTTTCCATGTACAACAATTCGTTATCTGGGACAATTCCGGCCGAGATGGAAGCCAATGTGAACCTCACTTGTTTTGCCCGTAAGTAGGACACTCCTTTCAGATCTATTATATTTGCTATTATCAATAAGCCCTGGCTGCTGTCGCTAACACATGGATTATACAGAAGGAAACTCCATCACTGGTACATCGAAGGTTTGCCAGCTCTAAGACAAGACATATTGATGGTTATGTGCTCACTACCACCAAATCTACATAATTCTATGATGTTGGTCATTGGCCAATCGAACAGACATATACATGCACTAATAAATGATATTAAACCAAGAACGCGTTGAAATCGATAGAAGTCTTGGAATCCCGAAGATCCTTTTTCTTCTGTTGTCATTGTTGCGCCTACGCGGCTCCGTCCCACATCGACTGTGCGAAGTGGTGGTGGCGAAAATGCTTTCTTCCAATAGACAGCATACAGTACCGATATATATGTGACCATACCGGTACAGTATAATAGTACCGGTAGGTAATATTATAGGCGCACCGCGCACCGTTTATCCGTGCGACGCAAACGGCTAAATCAGGCCTTTTGTTTCTGGTCACAGTAGTCGAAGATATGGTCTTTTTCGCAAGGCAAGCAAGCGAATATAAGGGAATGCGGGCACCTGCGCGGTCATAATCGGATCTTTGGCATCGCTACAGAACGCAGTATTGATTTATACTTCCAAACTGCACGAACCGCAGATCCCTCAACAGCGATGGCAGAAGACGAATTGGATCGTTTGGTTCGTCGCCTGGACGAGCTTGAGCAAAAGTCCAATGCCGAGATAAGCGACCTCAGAATAGCACAAGAAACCTCCGAGTTGAAACTAGGACAATTAGAGCAACATGTTACGCAATCGCAGGAAGAGCGAACATCCTTGATTGGTTCAAACAGCAACCGCTCGCAAGCAACTCGTGGTGATATGTGGCATGTTATTGGCGACAAGCAAATCGACGAAACGCCCTCGAATGCTTTCAAGCAGCAACAATTCACACTTCCAGATGACCTCTGCTCCGTTTTTTGTGCCACATCATGGAAAAGCCTTCCTTTTTGGATAACAGTATTGGTTATTGCAGGGCTGCAACTTACATTGTTTGTGTTGCTGCTCATTGACCGTGTTGGTTCAAATCGGTGGATAGGCGTTGGTGGAGAATGTGACGTAAATGAAAGCATATTGTGTCGACATGAGCGTCCGCTTGACATGCCCCCAAATGTGGAACCCTTGGTGCGAGCAGCACAGGCTTTATGTCTAATCATCGCGCTGTACGATCAAGATGACATTCGCGATGGACTTGAAGGGTTCTACGCTGGCATGCCAGTGGACTATAAAGGCAGCACCAATTTTCGAAAAATGACTCGGTCTCGGTGGAACTTGAGCTGCTTCTTTCGTTTTTTGCAGGGCTTCCTAGGTGTACTATGTGCGTTTGTGTTGCTCGTGCAAGCCGATACAGTGTTCGACGTGCTTCTCAATTTCCTTGTGAGTTGTCATGGTACAATCAGGTTGTATCTTGAATCTATGTCACCCTTATTTTGATATTCTTTTCAATGCTGTATCCCAAGGGTGTGAAATTCATTTCAGGTCAGTTGCCGCCGTCTCGGCTGTGTTTCCTTTGTTTTGTTCATCTTCCTCATCGAACCTCTTACTATCCCCCCGCCCTTCGAACTGCAGAAATGGATGAGGCGGCTTTTCATATTGCGATCAAAGGGTATTTTGGAGTTTCTATGCAGGAAGCTGCGGAGGATGTGGCTTCATCATACTTTCGACGTGAAGAAGACACCCGTCCATGGATACCTCGTAACTTTCATGTGATTGTAATGTTGGGCATGCTAGCAACGATGGTTGCTTGGTTCGCCCACCTTGCAACTTTGCAGGCCAGTGGTACATATTTGGTGCAACACTTCCACGTGGACTTTGGAAAGGATCCTCTTCTTTCTGTGTTCAACGGGTGCTATACAGCAGATGGCTTGATCAATAAACGATTGTCTTATTCTCAAGTTGGAAGTGAGGTCAAGTTTGGATTTTGCAAAAAAGCAGACAAGAGCGAGAATGGAGGATGGACTCTGTATTTTGGGTCGTCGCCCTGTCCTTCTGATGATGAGAGCGAGGTATTGGCTGTATCTGAACCGACTAAGTCGTTTGACTTGCCCCTTGTGGACCCCACCAAATGGTACACGCCCGATAAATACAAGGCGTACACCCCAATTGAAGTGGTGCGCTTTTACGACTATTTCGCAGAATGTGACGACTCATCGTCCGACACCCCAGAAGAGTCCCACTTTTTCTATCAGTGCATTGCTTTCAACGTCACTCTCCAAAACCGCCAGAAAACTTCTGACTTCCAGAAAACGTTTGAAATATTGATAACTGAACCGAGTGAGGAATATCCTTGTCGAGACCCCACAACCTGTCGACCCATTTATGTTAGCAAATCGGATGCTGATGGTTATTCTGGCGATATCGATATCATTTACTTTAATGGTCATTTCTGGGCGTACTCTGTGGCGCCATGGGGATTGAATATTGAATATAGTGGGGATGGCGTGACGAAGGATGATATTCGCAACTTCTTTTACAAAGGAGATGGCTTCAAGATTGAGAGTCTTTCCGACCACGGAGGAACGGCACTGTACGTTGCTGTGGTAGATGGTTGGTATCAGTCACCTCTCGATCTGATTTGGTATGAGGCAGAGGATCAATACATCTCGTACTCCAAAAACGAGTTTGAAACCATCAAGTATTCCATCCCTTACGCAAATCTAGAGAAAAAAGTTGATTTCAATTTCGAGTGCGTGGGTGGCTATACGATTCCTGATACAACATGCTTCGAGTACGATGCATGGTTCAGTGATGTTGTGTGCCTATGTAATGAACCTATTCCAGATGCTTTTGATCTATCAACCTCTCGGGGTATGGCATTTCAAGATATCAAGAACGACCGCCGTGCAATTGAAATGTGCGCGGAATTAGCAGCTGATGACAGTTTAGTATTGAAAGGTCTGATTCAGGAGAGATACGCCCTCGCCGTGGTGAAGAATACGTTTGGTATCGAGTCGCAGGGATGGGACGGAAACAGCTGCACATCTTGGTTGGGAGACACGGTCGAGCTGAAGTGTGATAACCAGACTAGTGTACAACAATTGATCTTTTTGGACTCGGACACAGTGAAACATTATGGTACAATACCTCCTGAAATAAGATTCCTATCCAATCTCGGTGAGAATCCATTCCAGTCTATGACCGTTGGGATGGCGCAAACCTAACTCCTCAATCATACTTTTTCTTTATACAGAACACTTGGACTTGGGACAGAATGACATTCTCGGTGAAATCCCATGGGAACTTGGTTTCCTTGGAGCATTAAGTACGTACCTCTTGTGAATGCTAGTATCGGTTGTACATCGAACTGATCGAATTCGCTCCCGTTCATTACAGCCTACCTCGATCTATTTGATTGTAGTCTTACTGGATCGATACCGTATGACCTTGGAAGTCTCTCGAACTTGAGTGAGTGCCTCTATTGTTTCATCTCTGTCGAAATCGACGTATTCATGGCTTCAATGACTCACATGAATCAATCAATCTCTTTTGAACTTGTTCCATTCACTGCAGAATCTTTGTACTTGTCTAAGAACAACCTTACTGGTCAAATCCCAAATTTTGGAAACCTGAAAAACCTTGAGGTCCTTTCCATGTACAGCAATTCATTGACTGGGACTATCCCAGCCGAGATGGAAGCCAATCTGAACCTCACTTGCTTTGCGCGTAAGTAGGACGATCCTTTCCAATGTCGCTACTTGGTATCGTCAATGTGCCCTGCCTCTCACAGTAAAAAAATGAACATTGCAGAAGGAAACTCCATCACTGGCACATCCAAGGTTTGTCAGCTATAATATGAAAAAACATATTGATGGCAGCGTGTGCTCACTAAGGCACAGTCTTCATGGAGTACGGTACAACATGCTTGACAATTTATCACCTCAGGGAAACCTTTGGTCATCGGCCAGTCGAAACATGGTCTATCGACGGAACTTGCAAGCCTATAGCTATCCATTTGAAGATGATTGTAAACCAAGAAGAGTATCAACATGCTCTATTTATTTTATAAATGGTCGATATTGATGCTCTTGCTTCATTTTCTTGATCTTTCTCAAATCCTCTTCAAATTGAGTACGCAAATCAGCCAAACTCCGTTTCTTGTGTTCCTTGCGTTGAAATCGATAAAAGTCTTGCAACTCGTCCGATCCCTTTTTCTTTTTGTTGTTGTTGTTGTTGCGCCTTCGCGGTGGCGCATTGGGTCGACTGTGAGAGGTGGTAGTTGGTGGTAATGCTTTCTTCCAACAGATTGTGAATACCTCCTTGTGCGGCATTTCCAGTTGCTGTATTCGAAGAATAGGACACGGTCACAAAGCCATCGTCGTCCACCATGTTTCCATCTTTGGCTTTTTTATGGGCCTTCCGTTTGGCCGCCTCTGCTTTTTCGTATTCACCCATGACACGGTTGCATTCGGCCAGGAGTTCGGCTCTGGACAAGGCTTGTCTACTTGCGTAATATCCCTTGCTGAATAATTTCTTGTGTTTCTTCTTTTTAAATTGATGATTTCCATCTTCGTCATATTCTTCAAAACCGTCTTCGTCATCATCATCGTCATTAAGTTCATTAATGAGCGGATCCTTGCCAATAATAAGTCGTTTACGTTCGTCTCGTTCGTACTGCGCCCAAGTTTCATCCGCCAAGGTTTGTAATTCGAGACGATCCATGGTCAAACCTGGCAAACTTTCTTCTTCCTTGTGTTCATTATTATCATCATTCTCGCCATCGTCATCGTCCTCATCGCTATCCTTTGCTGTTTTTTTCGCCTTGTTCTTTTTGCTGCTGCCATTGCCGCTACTATATACTGTTAGTCATGAAACGATGCAATTCTTGCAAGGTTTTCTTCAATCCCTTGGAGGGAGCAAAGGCCACATGAAGCAAGGTGCGGGCAAGTACCATTGCAGGGTACTGTAAGTGACCCAGTGCAACTACTACTTTTCGGACCATAATATACATTACTCGTATTCTATTACCGCGTACCCTACCGGTATGGTACACGTTGTACCCGCAATTTTGAAATTGCGCTCATCATGGGAAATACGTTACGACTATGCAGTATGAGTCGAAGATACGATCCTCAATTCAAATGCGGTAATAAATGTGCGTGGAGATGCCCGCGTCGGAAGGTTGACGATGGAAGTTGTGATTTGTTGTTTTGTTGGATATCGATTGCGAACGAAATTCTATAGAGGCGCGCAAAAAATCTTTGAAGTACTTTTTTAGGCTGAATATTTGACGTGGCCTACTTTTTGTTTTCCATAATTTCGAAATTATTTCCACTGCATGTTTATTTATGAATTTTGGTCGGAACTTTGTTACTGCCTAATAGTGTCTACGGTATAAATCATCGTCATAAAATCGTATGATAAGAAGAAGGCACACGCGGTCAGAACCGGATCGTTATTGGCTACTGTAGCATGCGATCTTCTGATGACCTGAGTGTATGACCTTCGGAAATCTCATCAACAGCAATGGCACAACAAGACGAAATCGAGCGTTTGGCTCGTCGTTTGGCTCAGCTTGAGAAAAAGTCCAATGCAGAGATTAACGATTTGAAAGAAAACCTCAAAAAAGCACAAGAAAAGTCCAATGCAGATATTGTCGATCTGACAGCAAACCTGAAACAAGCACAGCAAGCCTTGGAGGAACATGTTACGCAATCGCAGGAAGAGCGAACATCCTTGATTGGTTCAAACAGTAACCGTTCGCAAGCCACTCGTGGTGATATGTGGCATGTCATTGGAGACAAGGAAATCGACGAAGCGCCTTCGAATGCTTTCAAGCAGCCGCAATTCAGACTATCTAATGACCTCTGTTCAGTAATTTGTGCAACCTCATGGAAACGCCTTCCCTTTTGGCTATCAGTTTTGATCATTGCGGGGTTTCAACTAACATTGTTTGTGTTGCTGCTTATTGACCGCGTTGGTTCGAAACGTTGGGTAGACTTTGGTGGAGAATGCGACGGAAGCGACTTATTTTGTCGACATGAACGCCCGCTTGACATGCCCCCAAATGTGGAGCCCTTGGTACGAGGAGCACAGGCTTTATGCCTCATCATTGCGCTGTACGATCAAGATGACATTCGCGATGGACTTGAAGGATTTTATGCTGGCATTCCAGTGGACTACAAGGGGAGCACCCATTTTCGAAACATGACTCGGTCTCGGTGGAACTTGAGCTGTTTCTTCCGAATGCTGCAGGGCATTCTGGGTGTATTATGCGCATTTGTATTGCTCGTACAAGCCGATACAGTGTTTGACGTGCTTCTCAATTTCCTCGTAAGTTGTCCTCATGCAATTATGAGGCTGTCGATTGTTGTGGTCTCAACTAGACCTCATCCTTAATTCTCACTTTCTGTTCTTTTCAACGCAATATCCATAGGGTGTCAAATTTATTTCAGGTGAGTTGTCGTCATCGTTGTTGAGGCTAGATTACTTCGATCATATTTCTTATCCGACTTTTTTTATAGAAATGGACAAATTGGCATTTCATATTGCGCTCAAAGGGTACTTTGGAACTTCCATGCAGGAAGTGGCGGAGAACGTGGCTGAATCGTACTTTCGACGCGAAGAAGACACTCGTCTTTGGATACATCGTAACTTTCATGTGATCGTAATGCTGGGCATGTTAGCAGTAATGATTGCTTGGTTCGCCCAGCTTGCGTTTCTACAGGCCAGTGGTACCTATTTGGTTCAGGATTTCTATGTCAGCTTTGGAGCGGACCCTTTTCTTGCCTCGTTCAGTGGATGCTATGTAGCAGATGGTCTGATCAATAATCGATTGTCATATTCTCAAATTGGAAGTGAGGCCAAGTTTGGATTTTGCGAAGAAATAGACAAGCGCGAAAATGGAGGAGGATGGACTCTGTATTTTGGATCGTCGCCGTGTCCTTCTGATTCTTATTACAACGAGGTCTTGGCCATATCTGAACCGACGAGGTCCTTCGACTTGCCTCTGTTGGATCCCGCAAAATGGCACATGCCCACGAAATGGGACAGGGCGTACGCACCAATTGAAGTGGTGCGCTTTGATCCTGGTGTATATTGTTCCATCACTCTAGAAGAGCTGCACTACTTTCACGATCCATGCATTGCTTTCAATGTAACCAACAAAAATGGCCAGAAAACGTTTGAAAAATTGGTGACTGAACCGAGTGAGGAATATCCTTGTCGAGACCCCACAACCTGTCGGTCCATCTATGTTAGCAGACCGGATGCTGATGGTTATTCTGGTGATATCGACATCATTTACTTTACTGGTAATTCCTGGGCGTACTCTGGAGCGGCATGGGATTTGAAAATTGAATATAGTGGGGAAGAATTAACGAACGATGACATTCGAAGTTTCTTTTACAAGGGAGATGGCTTCAGGATGGAGACTCATTTCAAATACGGAACCACAAGGTACATTACACTGCCTTGGTTTAGGAGTCACTTGCCTTTCGATGAATCTTGGTATGAGCCTCTGCATCATTCCATTGTCTACCACATGAGCGAGTCGGAGAATCTTTTTTTCTACCTCCCCTACGCAAATCTAGAGAAAGAAGCCGATTTGAAGTTTGAGTGCGTGGCTGGCAATACAAGAACGTATACAGTAGGTTGCTTCCAGAACGAATTTTCGTTTGGTGATGCTGCGTGCCTGTGTAGGGAGTCCATTCCAGAGCGTTTTGATCTAACAACTCCACGGGGTTTGGCAGTTCAAGATATCATGAACGACCGCCGTACAATTGAAATGTGCGCGGAATTTGCAGCTGATGACAGTAGTTTGGTGGTGAGAGGTCTGATTCAGGAGAGATACGCCCTCGCCGTGGTGAAGAATACGTTTGGTATCGAGTCGCAGGGATGGGACGGAAACAGCTGCACATCTTGGTTGGGAGACACAGTCGAGCTGAAGTGCGATAACCAGACTAGTGTACAACAATTGATCTTTTTGGACTCGGACACAGTAAAACATTCAGGTACAATACCACCTGAAATGCAATTGCTCTCCAATCTGGGTAAGGTTCAAGTGATTTTCAATTACATTCACTCTATAACCGTTGGGATCGCGCAATAAACCTAACTCCACCATCTCACTTTCTCTTTGCTTTTACAGAACACTTGGACTTGGGACAGAACGCCATTCGCGGTCATATTCCAGAACAAATTGGTTTTCTTGGAGCATTAAGTACGTACCTCTTGTGAATGCTCGCATCGGTTGTGCATCGAACTCATGGAAAGCCCTGTTGCCTTGTGTTCACTTTGCTTGCTCCTATTCGTTACAGCCTACCTCGATTTATTCGATTGTAGTCTTACTGGAGTCATCCCTGACGGGCTTGGATATCTCTACAACTTAAGTGAGTGCCTCTATTGTTTCATGTATCTGCCACCTCGACTTGTTGCAGTTCCGTTGTGGTTTCAATGACTCGCATGAATCAATCAATCTCATTTGAAATCTATCGATACGCACTGCAGAATCTTTGTACTTGTCTGAGAACAAACTTTCTGGTCAAATCCCAAATTTTGGACATCTGGAAAACCTTGAGGTCCTTTCCATGTACAACAATTCGTTATCTGGGACTATCCCAGCCGAGATGGAAGCCAATGTGAACCTCACTTGTTTTGCCCGTAAGTAGGACACTCCTTTCAGATCTATTATATTTGCAATGGTCAATAAGCCCTGGTTGTCGCTAACACATGGATCATACAGAAGGAAACTCCATCACTGGTACATCGAAAGTTTGTCAGCTGTAATAAAACAAAAGGCGCCTTGATGGCGGTTTTCTGACTACGGCGTAAACTACAACGATGGAAAATGCTGGACAATAGTATCGCTTTTTTTCATCGTTCATTCGAACTATAGTCTATTTGCGGAACTTGCAAGTCTAGCTATCCATTTGAAGATGACTCTATTATTTTTTAAATGGTCGATATTGATGCTCTTGTTTCATTTTCTTGATCTTTCTCAAATCCTCTTCAAATTGAGTACGCAAATCAGCCAAACTCCGTTTCTTGTGTTCCTTACGTTGAAATCGATAAAAGTCTTGCAACTCGTCCGATCCCTTTTTCTTTTTGTTGTTATTGTTGCGCCTTCGCGGTGGCGCATTGCGTCGACTGTGAGAGGTGGTAGTGGTGGTAATGCTTTCTTCCAACAGATTGTGAATACCTCCTTCTGCGGCATTTCCAGTTGCTGTATTCGAAGAATAGGACACGGTCACAAAGCCATCGTCGTCCACCATGTTTCCATCTTTGGCTTTCTGGTGGGCCTTCCGTTTGGCCGCCTCTGCTTTTTCGTATTCACCCATGACACGGTTGCATTCGGCCAGGAGTTCGGCTCTGGATAAGGCTTGGCTGCTTGCGTAATATCGCTTGACCACAGCCAAGGCTCCTTGGGCAGGTGCTTCCTTGCTGTATAATTTCTTATGTTTCTTCTTTTTGGATTGTTGATTTCCATCTTCGTCATATTCTTCAAAATCGTCGTCATCATCATCATCGTCATTAAGTTCATTAATGAGCGGATCCTTGCCAAGTCTCTTACGTTCGTCTCGTTCGTACTGCGCCCAAGTCTCATCCGCTAAGGTTTGTAATTCGAGACGATCCATGGTCAAACCTGGCAAATTTTCTTCTTCCTTGTCTTCATCATTATCATCATTCTCGCCATCGTCATCGTCCTCATCGCTATCCTTTGTTGGTTTTTTCGCCTTGTTCTTTTTGCTGCTGCCATTGCCACTACTACTCATGACACGATGCAACTCCTGCAGTGTTTTCTTCAATCCCTTGGAAGAAGCAAAGACCACATGGGCATACTTGCCTTCGTGAAAAATGGGCGGCAAAAAGGTGGGCAAAGTAAGCTTGTCGGACCACAATTCCAATTGCTCTATCGTCAAATTATTGTTTTGTGCCGAATCATCCTCCGGTCGACGACGAATCCGTCGTGGATTGGGCACCACCGTCACGCGGGAAACGTCGGCAAAGCGTCCCAAGATGGATCGCAACGCCAGTTTGGTAGAGACTCCGGGAATAATTGGAGCATTGACTACAAACAAGGTGCAACCAGGTTTGGCCTTTTTGTTGCTCTTTCCTTCCGAAGTAGTAGCAGTAGTAGTGGCACCGTCGTCATCGTCATTATTACTCTTTCCGGCTTGATGTTCCTTCACATAAAAGAAGGTTTCGTCATCTTTGGATAGCTTTAGACGGACCGGCAAGAAACCCTTGATTAATGGTGCGGTTGCTGGCATGACTGACTTTGTATGGCAACTCTTTGTGTGTTTGTACTTGTGTGTTGTGAAAAGACGATCTATAAATAAGGACCTTATTGTGATGAAGATGATGATTGATGAAGAATGGTTGGTCCGTATGATTCACTCGACCTCCGTCTTGCAACCCGTCCGCGCCGCGATGGATTTTCCAACCAACAACCACAACATAATAAAATAAGCACACACTAAACTTTGCAGCATTTGTCATCGACTATAATCTAACAGAGATTCAGCGCATACAGCTATCACCTTTTCTTCGGCTCTTTCAAAACCTACCAATTGACAGTCTTTATCAAATACCAGAAAAATATACCGAGGCAGACAAGGTAGAATAGAAGAATCATCATCATGACGAAAAAGAGATCCAACAGTAGTCAACACGAAGAAGAAGAATCCGTATCGGAAGATCAAATCTTATTGCTGGAGAATCATCATCTTGGAAAAGAGGAATTGGCCACTTTGAGGCTGGTGGAAACGACCGACCGAGCATTGGAATTGATCGATTCGTTATCCAACGAACCACAACGATTTGAAGGAGATGATCCAGGGGACTTGTTTGACAAAATGGACGAAATGAGACAGAGTCTCCAATCGGCGTGGAAGGATGTTTTGAACGACAATGATGACAATGAGAACGACACCGACGATTCGTCCAATCCAAGGGGATCCAAGCGAACAAGAGACGGTCCGTCTGAAGAAGAATATCGATCGGCCTATGTCGAAACCATGGCGGAAGTCTTGGAAGCACCGTTGGACGCCATGAGACAACAACACGAGCAAGATGAACAACAGTCCACAAATGGTGGAAAGAAAGCAGTTCTTGATATGGATGTAGATTTGATAGTGGAAGCGTTGCAGTCAGGGATCGATTTGTTGCATCCAGAAGAAAAGATGCTCTTTTTGGAAGAACTGCAGGCCATTGAAAATGAGGGTGAACAGGACGATAACGAAGCTACCAATAAGGGAGAATCCATACATATGATGCGCCGAAAAGAACTGGGGTATGATGTGTAATAAAATAGATTGTATCAGTATCAAATATCGATATTGTCGCAAGCATGGTGTCTCCGCGCCCTTTTCGCATTCCTGTATCAAGGCCTTTAAGCAATCGCATGTTCCACTGGTCGATTCATATATCGTCTGGGAGCCAGACAAAATGCTGGCACTGTAAGTTCCATTTCTAATTCGCCTGTCATTGTAGTTGCCTCGAGAAGAGTGGCGTCAAGGTCTATCTCAAACTTGTAGGAAGGAGAAAGTTGCATTATTCGAGCTTTACTTGCATTATTGTTTCCATCAGTCGAATCTTCTTGTCTGTTGAAATCTTTTCTTGTCCTTCTTGCATTTGATGTAGTTGTCGACGTAGTAGTTCATCATTTTCCTCAAATCTTATTTGGTGCTCATCGAGCTCGGTATCCGCACCATAAGGAATAGCAGCTTGGAACATATGCCACTCTCCTTTCGGGGACCAGGAACAGAACCACTCTTGACACCATGACTATAAAGACAAGTGGAGGATCGAGCCGTAGTGCGTTTGGGACGGTGATCTTTTGAAGATTCCGTGTGATGATGCTGCTATAAAGCCTCATTGTGATGATTCAAGATGACTTTTTGAAACTCAGGGTGATGATGGGTGTTTTGTAGCCTCATGGTGAGGATTCATGAGCTTTTGTTAAAGACTCGTGGTTATGGACTATTGCTTGAAGCCTCGTGTGTCGATCCACGATGATGGTGATGGTGATGATGAGATTCTTGCTTTTCTTCTTGTTGTCTTGAGACGAAAAGAAGAAGAAGAAGTGAAAGCAGCACAGTAGGGTGTTGGAAAAAGACTATTGTCACCTGTTGGGACGATTTGCCAACAATAATCAGCAAGCGTTCCAAGCTGATTGAGTGAGTTCTCTTTGGATGTTGGACAAAGGACCAGCTATCATCTTCCTGTCGGGCTTCGCATCGGAAGAGTTGCAATATAAGTGAGAAATAAGTATTCAATGTTCCATGTCGCTTTGCCATTTTGGTGATGCGACTCACGGGTATTTTAAATAATAAAAATGCGGGTTGTGTGAGGCGTGAAGCTGGTTTTGGGGGTTGTGTCCGTGCGTGCTCCCTGGATTGACCAGTTCACAGTGTTCAGCATCCCGCGCGTCGCGGGTTATATCGGAGACAATAAGGCCTCTGGATGAGGGTGATGAAAGATCCGCTCTACAATGCCCAGCAGGGATGAAGAAAGTTACAGTGCTATTCGCTAAAAGGCAGGAGAGTTTGGCAAATCTCGGAATCTCCGATTGGCAAACGTCAAAAAAGGAGACCACTGCGATGATTGTCAATGAAGGAGGATACTACTGTGGAATTTGAGTGTTGGCTTTGAGGCTTCACGCTCCCCGAAAAAAACAACGAATGGAATCGCTCCTGATTTATCCAGCGGATGATCTGGGCCCACTTGGTTCTCTACCGGTACCAGGTACTGCTTTGAAAAAGTTGAAGTAAAACAAGCGAATATTTGGATCAATTTCGGATCTGTTTTGTTTCTACAGGTATTGACACCGGGGGTACAACATAGAAAACATGTTATGAAAAATGAATACTAAAATATGAATGGGAAGTGTCAAATTTAAGCTGAACACATATGGCAGAAGGGACCCGGTGGATAATCGTTGAGGTCTGGGCCATGAGTTTGGGTACAGCTGCTGGTGCCCATACTACCGAACATATCACTGACTCGTGCAGTGTTGGGAATTCGCGTGCCCCATGCACAAAGATCCTGATTGAAGGATGATGCTGCATAGAACATCATGCCCATCTCAGTAGCGGAAAAAGGTTCCCATGATGACAGGTCTTGATTGAAGGAGGACGCCATTTCGAACATATTTTGAAATGAAGTAACCCATTTCACGTCCCAAGATGATATGTCTGCGTTGAATGCCATTGCGTTCTGAAACATCCCTGCCATCTCTGTGACAGAAGATACATCCCATGATGACAAGTCTTGGTTGAATTCCATTGCGGCAGCGAACATATAAGTCATGGATGTCACAGAAGAAACATCCCAAGAAGACAAGTCTTGATTGAATGCATATGCACCCTGGAACATATATTGCATGCTTACAATAGAAGAAACATCCCAATTCGAAATGTCTTCATTGAAATTCATGCGATTCGCAAAAAGCCAACTCATAGAGACCACACCTGCCCCGAAACACCAGTCGCTTATCGGTCCATACTGGACCTCGACAGATGCCCTAAGACCATTAAACCAGTCCGCAACTGCATTTTGGAGGTCATCGTCGCTTTGAATACACGGAAAAGACGACGTGGGATTTTGAGAAGGTTGACCAGTCGTTGGAGAGGGTGTTGGAGCAGGAGTAGGACTCAATGTTGGGCCAGGCGTCGGATTGGGTGTCGGACCAGGCGTCGGACTTGGTGTTGTTGGAGCAGGAGTCGGATTGGGCGTCGGAGCAGGAGTCGGATTCATTGTCGGACCAGGCGTCGGAACGGGAGTAGGCCCAGGAGTCGGGTTCGGTGTAGGAGCAGAAGTGGGAGACCCAGATCGTTCCATGGTAGGGCTGATGGTCGGCTTGCTGGTAGTAGGATTGAAGGAAGGTCGACTGGAAGGAGCAAACGACGGAGATTCGCTTGGTAGCAAAGAAGGAGCTACGCTTGGTGAATCCGTGGGACTGACGGAGTCTACCAGCACAACCACAACTGTCGTGAATGGAAGGTCCAGTCGGAGTCTCGTCACCAAGGGTACCCTTGAAAAGACATCCACCATCAATGCAATCAACTCAAAGGTCGACATATCGCCCTTGAGAAGCAAGTCGAGACTTGCGACCGCTCGCACGCAATGGGTCTCTGCATCGTCTTCGCACTCTTGATTGACGTTTGTATCCACAGCAACCGTTCCACCAGCAATCACAAACTCAGTGCTCGCAAGCTGTCGGTTTCTGTTTCCTACTTCGTCATCCGGGCAACCAGCCAATGCTGGTACAAGATACTGCTGCATCTTTTCGGTAAGTTCCAGTTCGAGTTCGTCTGTCATTGAAGTTGCCTGAAGAAGAGTGACATCCATGTTTAGCTGAAAGCTGCGTGCCATCAATTCATCTGGTGAAAGCAAACCACGGGCAATGGACCAGCACTCTTCATCGGTTGGCGCATTGTAGATCTGCAGCTCATTTGGCGATTGTGTAGGCCCGTATGTGGGGTCGATAGAGAATGATGCAGTAGGAGCCGCAGAGGAAGTAGCATTCGATGCTGTCTTGTTCGAGGAAAGATCCAGAATGATCTCGTCTGGTGGAGAGTCCTTCAATGTCAAGACCGCCGCCACTGCACCCACCACGGCAGCTAGTACGAGAAAGCAACAGAGCAAGATCATGCGCATGCGACGACGTTTGGAACCGTGATTTGCATTGTTTTCATCAGTCGAATCTTGTCTGTTGAATTGTTCTTGTCCTTCTTGTATTTGATGCAGTTGTCGACGTAGTTCCTCGTTTTCCTTCAAGGCCTTTTCGTGTTCTTCGACCTCCATATCCACATTGGAAGCAATGGCAGTTTGGATCATACCAGTCTCATTGTTCTGTGTTGGACGGGGACCAGGAACAGAACCACTCTTGACGCGATGACTTGGATGAGTGGAGGATCGAGCCGCAGTGTGGTGTTCGGAATGGCGTTTGGCGCGTGGACCTTGGTTTATCTTGTCCACGATAGCTTGATGAGAGAGTCGATGATGAGACTCTTCACTCTGGCCACCAGAAGCATGAGAGATGCGGTGTTTGGAGTGGCGAGGACGGTCATGTTCAAAGTGAATACCTGGCTTGGAGGGTGCTTCTGAATGTCGATGATGGGTGCGGCGCTTGATTTTGATATCCGCGTCCAAGTCATCGTCGTGATGATGATGATGACGACGGTTGCTGTCTGTTGAAGCTTCGTTGTGATCTTCTTTTGAAGCTTCAGCCTCGTGGTGATGGCCTTTTGAAGGCTCGTGAGTCGATCCACGATGAACTTTTGTTGAAGAGTCACGGTGACGGTCTTTTGAGGCCTCATCAGGCGATCCGCGATGAGACGATCCACGATGATCTTTGGAAGACTCACGATCAGGGGCTTTTGAAGCCTCATGAGACGATCCACGATGATGGTGGTGGTGATGATGATGACGATGATGATGCGATTCTTGCTTTTCGTTCATCATGATCAATAGTTCTACTTGTTGCCTTTCTTTAAAAGCGAGAAGAAGAAAAGTGAAAGTGGCGGTAAAGGAGAGAAAAAGACCAAGTGCCACCTATGTGCCAGTGCGGGGCTTCGCAAAGGAGGTCATAAAATGCATGGAGAAGTCTTCCATGAGACTGCGAGTGCGTTCGCATTGAATGCCGGACGAGTGGAGGAGAATAAAAGAAAGTCCAATAATCATCAGCCAGCTGTCGGGCTTCGCATTAGGAGAGTCGTACCAGTAATGCATGCAAAATAGTATTCAATGATGAGCGATAATAAGTTCGCTTTCTGTGTTGGTGTTGCGACTTGTTTTCATGATAACGCTTGCATATGGATCACACTTCGATTGAGTCATTGGACTCAATTTACCGGGTTCAGTAAAGGGTAATATCGGCACTGTATTGCAGCAAAGATTGAGTTTCACATGGTTGGGCTTCGCATTGGGAGAGTCTAATAATCCATCAAGAAGTATATTCCGTGTCGCAGGAAGAAGTTCTCCCCTCTAGCCATGTTGTGATGCGATTTTTTTGCGTTTGTGCGCTCTTGAGTTCTTCCGTGGTGGGTTTTACTACGTTTTAGATTGCGGTGTCTGAACTGGTCGACCATGGTGGTCACTTGTGCATCTTTCCAAGATGGTCTGCTTCTTGCATTGAACCAGATTTGGTATTGCGATGATACTGCGGCAATCATGATCGTTCGATTCGATTTGTTACGATCGAAGTCTATGGGAATGAGTATATTCGGGTCTGGGTCTACCGGTATTATGCACCGTACAGCGGTACGGCACCATGATGGTCAGACAGACATTATCTGACCACGACATGAAAGGGTTCATAATTCCGTCTGTCATTCCTACCGATGCCAGATCCATCAGAAGCTCCAAACCACGAAAAACAAAAAAATGATACTGTATGCGTGAGGAGAGAGATGAGATACGAGCATCATTTGATTGCAGATGCAGCACATGCAAAACACTCGTCCAGTCGACACTTCCAGAGTCCCCACATCGTTAAATCCAGATGATCTCACAATGCGAGCACTACACACGAACACGAGAATGGAAGAGCCGCGACAGGAGAATAATGATCATAGTCTAGAGGATCCTTCGCCGTTGAACCGAGACGACTTGTTGGGATGCCTAAAAACTTTACAACGTCTCGTCGACGGAAATCGTCATGGCTTGGATTTGTTAAACTCCGAAGAACGCTTGGCATTGGTCATTGCTGCCGGTCGCCTCTCCCGACCGTCCAAAGAAGAAACGTCCAAGCGAAAGAAACAAGCCAAAGACAAACTGGCGTCGGAACAGCGCGCCTTGGATCGCAAGGCGCGTGAAAAGACGGGCATTCGAGTGGCTCGCACCCAGCCAGTCTTTGAAGCTCCCGAAGCACTACTCTTAGAGTCAGCCAAGGAAGAGTTGAAAGGCAACGCGACGCTGGGGTCGTATCGGAATTGTTATATTTGCAAAGCGAAATTTACCGACCTACATCCCTTTTATGATACGATGTGTACGCCTTGTGGCGATTTCAACTATCAAAAACGATTTCAAACGGCTGATTTAACAGGCCAAGTCGCCATCTTTACAGGCTCCCGACTAAAAATTGGATATCATGCCACGTTGATGTTGTTGCGGGCGAATGCTACTGTGATTGCGACGACGCGGTTTCCCGTCGATTCCGCCACGCGATTTGCTAAGGAAGCTGATTATGAGGAGTGGAAGGACCGGTTACACATACATGGCTTGGATCTGCGCCATACACCCAGCGTCGAACTCTTTTGTGATTATGTTGAGGCGAATTATGAACGACTGGATATTTTGATTAACAATGCGGCCCAAACGGTTCGTCGACCACCTCAATTTTACAAGCATCTCATGGACGCCGAACAAATGCCATTTTACGAACACTCCTCAGAAGTCCAACATCTTTTAAAAAGTCACCACCAATGTCTGGATCGCCTATCGGGATTTTCTACGGATGATGGTAACCACACATCGTCGTCCGCACTAGCCGTGGTCGATTGGAACACGGCCAGTCCCGGCATTGGACTGCGGGCTTCGGCGCAATTGTCGCAAATTCCATACAAATATGACGGAGCGATCCAATCCCCCGACGTCTTTCCCGAAGGAAAATTGGACGTCGATTTGCAGCAAGTCGATTTGCGGACGACCAATTCCTGGCGTTTGACATTGGGAGACGTGTCGACTTTGGAAATGTTGGAAGTCCAATTGGTGAATGCGATTGCTCCCTTTGTCTTGTGCAATAAATTGACGCCTCTCATGCAACGTCACAATACCGGCTGCAAGCATATTGTCAATGTGACGGCCATGGAAGGCAAATTTTATACCTTTCACAAACCGACTGCCCGGCATCCCCACACCAATATGGCCAAAGCGGCCTTGAACATGCTAACCCACACGTCGGCGGGCGAATTGGCCAAGTATGGAATTTACATGAACGCCGTCGATACGGGATGGGTCACAGACGAAGATCCCGCACAACTAGCTCAAAAAAAGGTGGATCAACATGACTTTCAACCACCCTTGGACATTGTGGATGGGGCGGCAAGGGTGGTGGATCCCTTGTTTGATGGCATCAATCGCGGCGAACATTGGTGCGGGAAATTTCTCAAGGATTACGCGCCCATTGACTGGTGAAGAGGCATGGTACACTACCGTCTGTACGAGCCAGAAGAACCATCATGCTATGCGACCAATAAAGTAATGATGACGAGGGTGCGACCATGGTTGAATAAAAGCTCTAGCACCATAGCGAACACTCTTTGGAAGTATGGTATGAAATTGGGGAGGGGACATTTGCCACAACCACCACCAGACTAGCGGCTCACAGAGTACTACTAGAAGCCTCCCATCACAGGCAATAGTGAGTTGTTACCCTTTTACCATTGGACCAGAGTATTTTTTTGTGTTGACGACTTTGACATGGTGCCTGTAAGCACTACACGAACTGATGACTATGCATCTAGTCTCGGGTGCCTGTCAGTGGTGCCAAGAAGTAGTTGTATTGTAGTTAATTAAAACGATGTTGTCAAGAACAAAGTCTGTGTAGGCATACTGTATCCCCTCAGTCCATCCTACCGTCGCTCACGAGTGCAGCATTTGAGAATGCGACAATTGGGTTGGACCAATGATGAAAGTCTGAAAAATATGTGAATCGCAATTTTTTTTTACTTTTGTTATGCGCTATGTTCAGCGTCGTCATCTGTAAGGCCACTGGCACTACCGCTTTCGTCGCTGTCGTCATCACTATCTTCCTCATCTTCTTCCTCCAACCATTCCAAAAATTCTTGAATGGATTTCAATTGAAATAGGTTTCCCACTGCACTGTCCTTTGGTTCCTCCTTGCGTTCGGCAGCCCATGAGAGGATCGCTTCTTCTGACAAGACCTCTTCGTCATGCAAAGTTTGCAACACGAAACGGAAGGAAAGCCCAGAGCTCAGTTTGGTAGCAACAGGACTATTCTCTTGAATTGCGACTTGTTCCAGCCCGTACAGGATAGACTTTTCCTCCTCGATTCCAATACTCATTTTCTGCAACAAAGGACCCCAGAATTCCAAACGAGCCTTGAGCGATGATACCAGTTTTCCATCCTTCATATCAGCAGTAATCTCCAGACGATCCACCATGGCCAAGGTCGATGCTCTGGTACAATCAGAATAGGCTGCATTCTGACTGAATTTATACGAGTTGAGCTCAATGGCCAGGTTCTCCATGGGAGATGTTTCTTCAAATTCGAGACAGATTTCCTTCATCTCCTTGACAACATCGACACCCTTTTGTCGACCAAAGACAACAGGTGTTGCAGTCGTTGCAGTTGGTATATCTTCAAAAGTAAAGGCATCGTCGGTCATCATGGAAAAGGCATGTGCATCCATTTGCTCATCTTCTGTAGGTCCGCCACCTTGGGAGAGGCCGTCGTCTTCTGGTTCGGCTTGATACTCTTCTCTCTTGCTCCAATACAATGATGGATCGTATCCAATACTTTGCATCTTCATCGTGTCGGTACTGGTGACAACCAAGTCCTCCTCGTCGTCTGATTCATCATCCTCGTCATGGGTATAAACCCACACATGTCCAGAACCATCCTTACCGACCACGTTAACGGCAGTTTGGGGAGACTCGTCATTTCCTTGGCCAGCATCGGTGCTTTGGGCATGGTCCGTTTCCTTGCCATTGTTGATATTAGTATCATCACCCCAGTCACCGTCGTCTCCAAATTCGTCTTCTTCATCATCCTCTTGCAAGGTGATCCGAGTAAACTCCGGCACAATCGCACCCTTGCCAATCACAACTCCCTTACCCAAAACGCATCCCCTTTTTACCAAAGCTCCTTCCCCAATGACACAATCTTGGGAAACAATCGATTCAATAATGGTAGCATTTGCACCCACCTCGACATTGTCCCACAAGTGCGACGATTGGATTGTCGCGTTATCGTGAACATACACATCATTGCCAACGACAGACGCCAAGACATTTGCGCCTTCGGCAATGCTACCACCGCATCCCAGCATTCCTGGACCCGTAATGGTACCATTACGTCCCACCTTGGAAGGGTGAGTGATTTCTCTATAGGTGAACAGTTGGGGTGGATGTTGGACTTGCGAAACGACCTTGTATCGTCGTCGGGGTTTGGCATATAACGAATTAGCATCATCCGTCCGAGATTGGTGGTAATTGTCTGGTACCACTGGGTAGCACCAACGCCTGAGTAGATCGCTCGAAATGCTGTGATAGGTTGCTTCGTCCAATACCCGAGCCGCATAGGTATTGGTGGGCAGAACGTGCGCATGAATCCGCGTTTGCAAGCCTTCTTCTTCTTCCGCCACAGAGTTATGGACAAAGTCTTGAGAAATGTGCAAGTAATCAAATTCATCTTCAAATCTTCCAAGTACATCTGGTGAACAAATGCAAACGCCAGTATCCATTAGGTCGTCTCGGATTTCAATGGTCGAGTGGACTTTGAAGAAACTGCAGGGCATCTTGACGGTCTTGTTGTTGGCGTCGTTATCATATTGTAATACACGATTAGTGTCACTGTCCAATCCCACAATCAAATCATCCGTGGCCGGTCCCGTGCCAACTGCTGAAGGTGATGATGGTGGCTTTTCTTTTAGGATGATAGTCATGAGGGACGCGCTGTCCTTGGAGCGGCGGTCCAAATGGGCCTTCATGGCGCCATGCATCTCGCTTCCCAAATCCATGTTGGTTATACAATCCCCAAAGAGCAACAAAAACGGATCACTTTGGACGACATTTCTCTTGTACAACTCCCGAAGAGCGTCTCCCGCATTCGTCAAACTGGTATCCTTGATCACAACAAGTTCCATGGCAAAGTGTACCATTTTTTTGGTTTCCTGAAGATATTCTTCCATTTCATCTTGTGTGCACACCACAAAGACTTGTTCGACTCCCTGTGTGGCCACAAAATCCAGACTGTGTTCAATCAATGCCATGTTATTCAAAGGGCACAGCATCTTAGGGCCATCCAAAGTCAATGGCTTGAAAGCTTTACCCTGCTGGGGTGTCAAGAATGGATCTGCCAGTAAGACAGCTTGAAGTTTTGGCTTCTGGACGGCAACAACGACGTCGTCATCTTTTTGTTTGGAGGATTTTCCCATTTTGAGCTTGTGTTCGGGTATTTCTGATGCTTATTGTTTGCTTTTGCGTTTGTTGTTGTTGTTGATGATGATGCTGTGAAATCAGTCTCTAATCAGAGCAATGGTCGAAAAGGCTTTCTTTCGGTTAATGTGCGTAAAGGGTTATGGTGAGATTTGAATCTCTGTTTTGTCAAACATAAGCTCTTTGAGTTTTATTCTTATTGTTGCCTCGGGTTTGCATCTCAGATTTTTCATTTTTCATGCGATCCACATACTCGGTGTCTGTCCTTCGACCCCTTTGAATAAAAAGGACTATGGTTGTCCCTTTGGCTCATTTGTCATCGTCTTTGCGATAAAAATAAGCCAATAGAATTACACTATGCGAATTTGGATACGCTTCGAATTCGGAAATTTGATACCGGTACCGGAGTGAAGCCTGTAGTATCGCCATCATCATCACTGTTGTTTCACCCAATAGCCTCCTATTACCGTCGGCCGTCGTAACGTTGATAAGGTGTTGAGGGCAAGTGACTTTGAAGCCCTGGACTGTGGCCTGCGCGCTACAGCAGCTTTAGATCGGGCGGCCTATCAATCGAAGCAGCAATCTGAAAGCAAGTAGGTAGTTGCGTCAAATGAATGCGGCTATCTTGAAGCCTATCATTGAAAAAGTCTTGGCAGGTCACGACTATCTGAAAATCGTGTAGCTGGTTGGATCTACAGTGTACATTTTAGGCAAGAACACCTTCATCTCATCTTTGATTGCTAAGAGAGCAATATTGCTTGAGTCAATCAGAGGTATGCCTTTGCCCTAAACCGGGATGATCAACGAAATATTTATATTGGAATGGCTTGCAGTAACACTGAAGGTGTTGGCCCCGGGTATACCAGAGGCTTTGAAGCCCTGGACTCCCACCTACGATCTTCATTCTTCTGTCGCAGCAAGCGCTTGTGACTGTCTCAAACGGATCTAGGTCGTCAAGAAGCGATTTGTAGTTCGAGCGATGCAGTAGACTTTGCTAGTTGATTCTATAGTGTGCATTTGGGAAGGATGTGATTGGTTGGTGACTTGCAACTTGCGTCTGTATTCTGGTAGTAAATGGGTTTGCAAACAAGCCTTCGACAACTGTTTTCCTCGTAAAATCGTAAAAAATAAATGCTGTGCTTTTAGCATGCCTCTATGAATTGTTTTCTCTGTTGCTCTCAACATCTTACTCCAGTAGAACCTACTTGGCTGTTGCAGCAGTGATAGTTTGCCGCTTCTCCTCCTTCTTGTTGTTACTAGCTACTACACACGACGACCATAAATGGTTATCTTTGTTGTCTTTTGTCAATGCCGCTGCCTTCATTAGTTCCCACCTCAGGCTTTCTCATAGCGCTGTGGTCCTCTTTCTTTTCCGTTCTGCACGTAGGATATCACCGCAGTGAGTCCCTTATTGTGTGGTAAAGGTTTTGGTGCATAATGATATATATGGTAACAATAAGGCCTTTCAAGCCAAAGATCCAATGATGGCCGACAGACGGGTCCTCCGAATCGTAAGATTCGCGATGAATCCAGATTTGAATGTACCGGTACCAGTAGAACGCGTTCCAAAAGAATATGCAAGAGTCTACACGGCTCATCTTCTAGCTGGAACAAGCGAACAAATGGGAAGCGAAAGCAAGAAGACAACAAGCTGCCTCTTCTTACTTTTTTAAAATCTCTCAGAACCTGCTGTCGCGAACATACAGTATAAAAGAGCGACACACGTATCTCCGTTGAAAGTAGTACATCATACTGTAGGTACATAGTATCTTCATTGTTGAAACGTGTGATAAGGTCTATTTCTGTCTCAAACAGTGTCAAACACAATATAGCGCCGTTGTGAAGGAATTTGAAATTGCATGTTCAATTTGCGAGTGTCATTGTTGCTCGACCCCGCACCTCTATCAGGCATTAGTCGAAAAGTAAAATAAACTTTCTCATCCCTGCAGCATGGACAGTGCCATGTCTGACGCAATCAGCTCTACATCCTCTCAAGCCAAAGGCAATACCAAGCGATCTGTTGACGAAGATGCCGCCAATAGCCTGGATATCAAGCCTCCCGCCAAGAAGCCTCGCTGCAAGAAGCGAAGTCTAAAAGCAGTGGATTCTTCGATTCAGCTGCCAATTGATGCTTTGGGCCTTGTCATGGAGTTCTTGTCTCCTCGGCAGCTCTTCAATCTGGCTTTTTCTTGCAAGACGCTTCAGGCAAGAATCACCACTCCACTAGTCGTGAAATCGGCACTCATTCATGGTGGCCTTCCCAAACAGTCGATGACAGAGCTATATCAGCTAATGTCTAATAAGGCTATGCATGCCCCGTCCCCATTACGACTTTTGCGACTCGTCAATGGAAAGCGCTGTGAATTCTGTCGCAAGAGTAGAGTCAACATTGTCCGTCCAAAATTGGGAGTCTTTGCTTGTTGGAATTGTACGGCATGTCGAATGACCAAGCCTTGGAAATACTCTTGGGCTCGCCGCAACAAAGGGATCTACGATTCCATTTTTGTTCACCCACAAGTCGTTTCCAGCGAATACGCAAAGTGTGCATACATGTGGGCCAAGCCACGGACTGATGCATTTGGAGAACCAATTGGATGCCTAGCTACTTTTGGAGATTTGGATCGAATGTTCGAACATACCCGAAAAGGTTCTTCTTTGACTACTTATATTGAACAGAACCTACTTGCTACAACTGATACGGACGGGGCATATCAAGAGTTCAATGATTCCTATTCCAATGCCTTGGCTCGATCCACAGAAATCGCAACAGAACGGTTTCATAAGAAGGTCGCCAACAAGAAGACAAGAACGGAAAATAAGGTGGCCAAAGTCGAAAAGATGACCGAGGACTTGAGGTTGATGCTGAACGAGCCTTTCCGCGACATGCTACTCAAGAAACATCAGATGAAATACGACGCTTGGGCCATAGGTATTTCAAAGCTACCTGTTGTTCGATTTGATATTGCCTATGTCGACAAACTGTTGAGACCGTATATCATTACTCCTTCCAAACTACGAAAGAAGCTCTTGGCCGAGATTGCCAATACAATTAACGAGATATTTTCTCCCTTGGCTAAATTCTCAACTTTGGACTTTCTCTCTGATGAAGATCCATTTGACATGGCGCTCAAGACTCACTTCGGCACCAAATTTCATGACCTGCCAGGTCTCCTTGGAATGGTGACCGAAATTGAAGACTGTCACGTCGAAGCCAAGAAGATGGTCGATGAAAGGTTCTTTGATCGCATGGAGAAGGGGCAGCTGATCAGCGCGCTGGCTCGACTCGTTCAGAATGATCTTTCCTGTATCCTTAGTCTCAAACCAGAAGATTCAGTAGTACGGATGAGACCAACTTTAGTCGGGGCGGAAACGACGCTAGCACGAACTGTTTGGTTGGATAGTCTCACGAAGGAACAAAAAGACAACGACCAGCGGTTTCGTCAAGCCTACGCCATCGCGATGAAGGTGCTACCACAGGCCAAACAAAGACTGAAGGATTACCGTGTCTGGCTACAGGAAAAGCGTCCCGAGAATTGGGATCGACGTTTGCGTGCATTGGAAAAGGCTTATTCTTACGCTTCAATGTTGCCCCCATTGTTGGCGGAAAATTTGAAAGCATTGGACAAGAAAGTATCCACCATCGTGGACTACTATTGATGAGCAATCGACGAGGGGTCTAGCCTAAAAGTGTGTTCACTGGTGCGTCTTGAACAATCCCGTCTTGGGCTTCGCATGACATGAATAGCATTGCTCATCTTTTGAGTGGTGCTTGTAAAATAAATCGTCAGATCGTTTTAGCCCCCAACAAAACGGAACATAAGGGAACCAAGTGTAGTACCAATCGCATAACCGGCTTGGAGAGAAGATATTAGACACAAACGTATGTAATCCTCAAACTACTTGTACGGCGGAAAATACGTACCACACCCGTAAAACGTGGCTGCCAATGTCTTTCCTCGTAGATTTGATGAACCATTCAATCGGCTACAGAATGCGGCTGCAGTGGCTGGACCACCAATTGCAGCGTTCGAGGCGATCCAAACGTCTTCCAGTTCGATCTTTAGGCGGCGGGCGCATGTGGAAGACCCTACCAGAGCAACCACAAGATGTATCAATATTGCCAGCGTAGCAAAACAAAGGCAAGCAGGACCCAAACCAACCACACCCCTGAGATCACAACCAAATCCGATGGAAGCAAAGAAGCAAAGAAAGAGAAAGCCTCCAAGCTGATTTGCAGTCTCGCTCAGTGTCGGAAACCATCTGCGAGAGTTAATCAGCGAGTTGATGATTGGAGTGCAAATGGCGATTACCGCCGAGCCGGTCCCTGGAACCCATGGCTGAATCATTCTCTCTACCCAGTTTGATACCTCAGCGATACATAGTGAAAACCCCATGAGTGCTATACCAGCAAATGTTTTTGATACAAAAACTCTGCGGGACCGAACTTTCACCTTTGTGTTTTGCATGTTTGTAGAGGGCACCGTGATGGAAGAATCATCTGCCGTCACGCTTGGAACGTAAAATCTTGATCTTAGCCACTTCCAATCTAACGACATAGACAGGAACGAAAAATAAATAGCCATGACCAGCAAATCTGCTGTCGCCAAGGAGCCAAGTAAGTCGGAGCTTGCATTGATCATCCTCCCTGTTGCAAAGTAATTGACGGAGCCTCCAACATAGCTTGCCGACAAGCATGCCGTAGCTGCCTTCGCATTCGCCAAAGTAAGCCAACCCAAAGCCTGGGAACATTTGAAGCTCATGAAACATCCAAGCAATGAACCGAATGAAGCAGTCAAAAATGGGATGAACAATCGAAATATCGAAGATGCAGCCGAAGAACTTGTATCTTGATTGGTAGATGATGATTTCTGGAGAGAATCCCCATCTGACCGATACCCCAGCAAGAGCAAAGCCAAAGATGCTGGCAATATATGACTCCAGCATATATCATACAAAGGGTGAAGAGTCGGTACCAATGTGAAGCTGTTGGACAACAACCCTGCCACAATGAGAGTCCCCGCAATGCCACTGTTTGGTACAATACTGTCACATTTGAGACCAACATAGGAAGCTCCTATCAATGCAGATGCCGCACCAATGTGCGACGACGGATTGATCATATTGCAACCAGTAGATTTCTCGCGCTGCCGAGTCGATCGAGTTATTGTCGGATGATTCTTCAATAGTCCAAGCTTATTCCGATGAAATGGTGGGCTCTTCGCCATTCCTTCTACTTCTCGTGGGCTTAATAAAAAGGCAGAACATGTTATTGTGTTCAGTAGAAGTGACAATATAGCAAGAACGCTGACAGTTGACATTGTCGGTCGAAGAAAATTGCTTCACCTATTATAGCAATGTCATCAACATGAACGTTCGCAATGTTGTCGTGCTCTCCGTTTCTCCTCTCTCTATTTCTTACGATCAGTGAATCTGACTTTACACGATCAACGAACTGAATAAGTACAATAACGGTCGTCCATAAATGTGAATAGGGAATAGGGAGCTCGTCTGTGCGAGGATAGAGAAAGGGGTTGTGAACAGAACAGAAAGACACCCTTCTTGCTCACCTCACTGCAATCGAATCTTCAGTTGCACTCTAGAGTACCGTAGCGCTACCGGTACAGCAATATCCATACAGCACATACAATAAAACTAGAGCAGAAAGAAACTAACTGAGGGGATTGAGCTAATGAAAACTTGATAGAGGTCCAATGAATATGGTTCCTAATCCCTCCGGGATGATATCGTTCGGGCTCCTCCTATTATTGATTACTTGTTGGGACAAGAATCAATTGTCAGCACAAGCATTTGACTATCAGGCTGGAGTTCCCTGTTCTACGGATCTAGAGTGCAATAATTCATATGGCAAGGGATCTTTCTGCCTTTCATCAGGAGTCTGCAGCAATCCTTATCATTCAGGTTGTCTCAACAATCTCTTTCCGGAAGATGATCAATACATAATACGGCACTGCAATTCTCATGACGAGGAGATCGACGATCCAATGTGCCGAATATCAAATCATCTGTATCCAGAAATCAACATATACAATCAAGATTGGGAGGTGGCCTTATTCTTTAGTTGGATTTATCAGATTTTCCTATCAGAAGTTTTGAGTGTTCCTGTACGGGTGGGCTTGGGCCGGACCAGCGCAAATCTGACGACCAAGGAGAGTTTGCAGACATCTAACTTTTACAGTCTAGAAACCACTTTACCTGCCATGGATGGACCGAGTTATCCATGGCATGGCATTCGAAAGGCGAATGAAATGGGAGGAGATTGTTCTCTGACACAGGATGATTGTTTTCATATCATTCCCGACGTTTGGTCGGGGCAGCGGGACAATTATGAACAAGAATATGCGGAAGGTCAAATTGATTATCTGGATGGTAATGGTCAAGTGGGTAAGTCAGTGTTAGTGAAGTATCATATAATTGTCGCTGGGGCAGCTGACCGCTGACTCTTTGTGTACGACAATTATCATGCATGTATGATATCGCTCTCATCCGTTTTTACTTTTCGCAGGCAAGGTGTCATGGTATTTGCCCAAACGCACAGCCCAAAGGTATCCCTTCGCGGTAACCTATTTGGGCCTGAAGGAAAATCGGGAACAGCTGGCGGAAATATTTCATCGTCCCGTGACATGGAGAGACTATTGTCATGAGGTTTCTGACACAAACTGTTCGCAACCAGATGAGGTGGCACTCCGGTATCCAGAGACAGAGGAATTCGGAAGCAAGTATTTTTTGAGCGAAGGTTACATTGGCCACTTTCGACGGACCAACAAGAATAATTGCACAATAGTTGATGAAAACGCCTCCAGTATGACGGCGGTCGAAAGCAATCTGACCTGTACAGGACACATTGTAAATGCCAAATCCAGTTGGAGTACCTTTCTGGAAGCTCAAGCCTACTGGAATAATATTGCCTTGGAGTCCAATGGACCCGACTTGATCAATGGTGGTTATGATTATGATGACATGGTTGATATTTGGAGAGCTGCGAACGCTACAGACTCCGACGTGATTTCCTATTTCTTTGAACCTGATTTTGCATCGGAAGAATTCCGCAACACAGAATACGAGTATACGAAAGTCATATTGCCGGCAGCCACGATTCAATGTCGGGATTCTCGGGTACCCCCCAGTGATCGAAATAGTTTGGATCCGAAGATTCGACGAGGAGTAAAGGAGGGTTCTTGTGATGATAATGCCCATGGAACCAAACAGGTCGTTGCCATGTCCTTACGAGACAACACAATTTCTACATCTGATGCCTATCGGAGCCCTGCATACGCATTCGTTCGCAACTTCAACATGGACGAGCTCGAATTGAGTCAATTGCTTCGTGTATTTTCCGCAAGGGGGCAGAATGGTCATGCTGCACGTGGGGCAGTATGCGAATGGGTCGGCAACAACATGGACTACATTTCTAGTTTTATCCCGCCAAGTCATCCCCGAAACGTCATAGCCCGTACGAGCAAAGGAGAAGTTTTTAGTATTTTGGCAATTGCGGTTGGGGTTTTTGCGGTAGTCTATGTCCTTCTGGCGGCCATTCAAATGTACAAGCTTCGAAAAAAGAAAGTATTTATGTACGCTCAAGTGACCTTCATCTTCGTGGTTCTCTTTGGGCTGTTTCTGGTTGCCATCAGTTCTATCTTGTACGTCATTGAACCAAACGATACCGTGTGTACGACGCAGTCCTGGCTAATGGCCTTGGGATTTACTTGCATGCTGGTCCCTTTGATAATTAAAGTGTCAGCCATGAACAAATTGATGAGGGCCTCGGCAAGAATGCGCCGCATACGCATCAAACCTGCAGCACTTTATGCAAAAGTGCTGGGTTGGTTGGTCTTTGTTGCCATCTATTTGATAGTTTGGACCGTAGTCGATCCCCCTCTATCGATTGAAGTGCGAATGCTCAATGACGATCGAACTACAATTTATACCGAGACTGGTTGCATGTCGAGTTCTAAATATTGGTTGTCAATCTATCTTGGTTGGGAAATGATATTGGCCCTTGCTGCCTTCGTTCTTGCTTTTCAGTCTCGCAAAGCCAAGGCGGAATTCAACGAATCCAAGAGTTTGGGCTTCATGATCTACTCGCACTTGGGCTTTGCCGCTCTGCGGATTCTTGTGTTCAATATTTTTGAAGAAGAAGATGCTCATCTCGAGGCCCTTGGGACCAGTTTCTTTCTGAGTTTGGACGTAATTTTGGCTGTCACCATCTACCTGATACCAAAATTCTACCAATGCAACGAGTTCGAAAAGGCTCGGCCGTCTAATGAATTGCAAGGGTCAGCGACCGTACAAGAGATCCAATTACAAGCGGCAAGCACCACCAATTTTCAAAGATTCCGACGGAGCAGTATCAGTATGTTATTTGGTGCTTCTAAACCCTACACGGGAGATGCTTTTGAAGCTTTTGACATGTCAGAGAGTCATAATACTGACGCCGAGACTAGCAATATTTTGACCGAACTGGGCGGCCCAAAAAAGCCAGAGAAGGAAACTGACGTCAAAAAAGAAAAAGCGAAAGAACCAATAATACTGGAAGACGAAAGCAACGATCATTTGTCGTCTACCAGCCTTCGCCAGCGAGGTGGGGGGATAGGTGGCAGTCATCCATTTCGCACGTCCCCAAACAGTAATAAAGAATTCGAGTCTCGGAGTGGGGAATTGAGACCTCGGTCCGCATCCAGTCGGAGTCTTGGTTCAGCGGGCGGTACTCGAACCTCCATTCGCAACCTTGACCGCCCAACTTTTGCTAAGAGTTTGTCCAAGTATGGACAGACAAGTGTTCGACTTCTCTTTGGCCCAACAACGGAGCTGGAGGTTATTCCAAGTGGACGAGATTTATTCGGTAGCCTCGATTCAGATGACTCTGAGGAAGAAGATCTGGGAGCTGGAGGAGACATAAGATCAGAAGATGAAGATATTAACGAAGTTGAAGAGGGAGTTATTGAATCACCTACAAGTGATTCGCAGGATAGCAAAGGGGTCGGTTCTCCTGCGAGCCAGAATCATCTCGGAACTGCTCGTGCAAGAAGAGAACGTGGTGACTCTTCCAACACGGGGCAAAAAAGAAACGAAAATGTCATGGCTGCCTAGAGTAATTTATGTAAAATTATAGAATGGGATTCAATTGAAGAGTCATCTCATGCTGGTGGTGTCCTACTGTATTGGTATGTTCGTGGTCAAGTATTCAATATACCGCTACCACGATGAACTCGACCCATCCGATTGATTTATAGAGCCTATGAATATTCGTTTGTATTATTGTTGCCATTTTAGAAACACCTGATCAAAGCACCATGGACCAGCTTGCCAAGGACAACGAAAGGCCAATACCATGCAGCCTGAAACTATTGGCTCTTGTTCTAGTTCCTGGTTTGCTCATTTCTGTCCAATTTGCAAGATTCAGCAACGCTGCGTCGACTCAATCAATACTTCAGACATCTTTTTCATACTTTGAAGAGGTCGATGCACCAAGAATACGAAGCTTTCTAGGGACTTCAGATCCAGGCAAAGACGGCGAAGCTAAAAATAATTCTTCCTTAATACAATCGGTTTCAAATCCGCAGTCTTTGGAATCAGATCAGGCTTTCGCATCACAAATGCTGCATGAACCGATTCCAATTGAAGTATTGATCCAACACAACACCACTTGTCCGGAAGGATTGTTCCCCATTGAAAATACCCATCTGCCACGATCAGTAACGCATTTGGAAGGTCGAAGGATCCCGAAAATTATTCATATCACCAGCAGGCATCGCTGTGCAACAAGCGCTGTTATAAAAAATGTCAACAAATGGCGTTTCAATAATTACTCCGTCTACTTTCATGATGACAATGCCCTCCATAAACTCTTCGCACATCCGCATACTAGGAATCTGTTTCCAACACTGCGCGAAGGTCTCAAATGTGTCACAGCCGGGGCTACGAAATCGGACCTTTGGAGATATCTGGCTCTTTATGTTTACGGTGGTATCTATACCGATATTGATAACTCGCCCACCAAATTCAATGGCGAGACTATCCAGCCGGACGATGATTCTTTCTTCCCATTAGAGGGTTTGGGAATCATGAGTCAATACTTTTTCGCCTCGTCACCAGGGCATCCGCTGATGCGGCAAATGTTGGAGACAGGAGTAGAACGGCTCAAGCTCATTCCAAACGTCATGATCAACAATCCTGCTCAAAGCACTGGTCCTGGTGCTTGCAAGGTTGGGTTCATTAAGTTCATGGCGGAAGTAGGGGTCGAAACTACGGTATGTAAAGTTTCGCTCCACTCAAACTATTGTCCTCTTTCGCGGATTCATTTCAGACTGACAAAGCATTTCTATTGTCGCAGGGCTACATCAATGCTGGTCTCTATGTTGGTGCCAACAATCGTTCAGTAACAGTTGTAGGGAAAAAAGAGAACTCAAGAGAGTACGTTGACAGAGGAGGACTCGGAGATGGAAACAAATTGGGCTACTACAAGGCCTTAGGAATCAAACACTTTAGCGAATCAAGAAAGGGAACATCGCCAAAAGGGAAGATTTCATGCAAAGAACATTTGAAGAGGACGAAAGGAACCGACAAGGTTGCCAACTATAAATACGTCAAAAAGTTTCAGAAGTATATCGAAGTGAATACCACCATGAAAGGCATGTATAACCTTACATATTGATGGTGTTGCTGATCAACGACACTCAACTACTGTCACAATCTGTGATAATTTCGCCTGGCGATGGCCAGTTTGGAGCGCGGCGCTATCAGAATAGTAAACAGGCTGCCCATCAGAATAGCAAACAGATTGCGGGCCCACGAAGCACAGACTATCGAATTGCATGAAGAATCGAATGAACAGAGCAGGTATCAAGAGCACATACATATCATCACCGTTGCCAGCTGTATGATAAGCAGGGTATTTTATGTCCTTTTGATGACACAGACTAACGAGATCAATAGAAAATAGTACATAATCAATGCTTTCGGTCGTAGGATAAATAGAGTAGTGGGATAACGTTCAAACATTAGATCACTATGTTACTATGTTCGTGTTGCAAAGTGCAAATAGGATATACTCGATCACTATTAGAGTACATCGTTTGCTACTCGCCAAAAACAAAAATTCCGCCACGGGGACTCGAACCCCGGTATCCTGCGTGAGAGGCAAGTATGCTAACCACCTACATCATGGCGGAATCTTATTCTTCCGTCGAAAATTAAGCTTGGTATTTACGCAACTATGAAATTTACAAACAATTGAAATTCTAATCAATGCAAGAACGAATGATTGAAACCATTTCATCTCGCAACACTCAACAACAGGAGTTCAGACAACACTTTCACAATCAATTTCTCTGATGATGTTTGAATCAAGAGGAATATTCTGTATAAGAAAATTTCGCTTTGCACTTCTGTCGCTTTTCATTTCCCTGTTCTGGATGAGCGCCATAGGGTCGAAGGCAAAAGAAAATCCTCCACATGATGGAGAAATGCCAACTGCAGCCTTGCATAATGGGATATCCATATCGTTGATTGGCTTGGGCTGCGCCAGCGGAGTGCGACGGCAACATGTGAAAGCGGCACTTGAATCCGGTTACACGTTTCTGGACACGGCCCAAGCGTATCAATGGGGCTATCAAGAACATGAAGTCGCAGAAGCCCTGAAACAATATCTTGAAACTAATGAAAATGCGGAAGTCTTTGTGCAGACAAAGGTACATCCGGAAAACCTCGGCTATGATGCCACTACAAAAATGGTTCACGAGAGCATTGATAGATTCGAGGGGCACCTAGATTCGGTACTCATACATAAACCAAAGTGTTGGCCGGGCGCATGTAGTCGCGAGCCAGAAGGCACCTGGGCAGATAGTTGGAGAGCGCTAGAGGATCTTCACGACCAGGGATTGATCAGAGCTATAGGAATATGCGACGTTGACAAATGGTTGTTGAAAGAATTGCTTCGACAGCGGATCAAACCGCACATTATTCAGAGTACGTAACAAGAAAAACTTCTGGCTGGCGTCCTTGTTTTTGGCATCGATTCCTTTCATCTCTAACTTCCGTTACTTCATGCTGATAGATTGGATGGATCCGCTTCACCAAGATTTAGAGGTCCGAGATTTTATACTATCGCTTGGCATTCAATATCAAGCATACTCTTCTCTCGGGACACAGTGGGTACATTTCAGAGGCTACGAGAACAACCCTGTGTTGACAAACCCAATATTGCAATCGATAGCTGCAAAATACGGTGTGGACGTAGCACAAGTTGTAATCAATTGGGCGACTAGAAAAGGGATATCGGTACTTCCAGCATCCAAAAATCCATCTAGACAACAAAGCAACCTCCATAGCACTACAACTTTTGATCTCTTGGACGACGAAATGGCCATGATTGACGCCCTAGATGGTGACCTACCAGAAAAACATCACGCTACGAAAGTCCAGGTCCACTTTGAAAATCCAAGGAACGATGGGGGGAGTATTGACGCCTTCTGGTTGTCGGACGCGGACAATAGTGAAGTGCCAATTGGATCTATAGCCGCTGGAAGCGCAATATCAATGACATCATATCATGGCCACACGTTTGTCTTTCGGGACCCATCGAATGAGAATGCGCTCTTGAGTGAGTATAAAGTGGACACAAAATCTGGATCCGAGCACCGCCATGTCATACCCTTTGATGACGAAGAACTGTAAGCACATCGAATCTTCATAGTTTTAGAGACGTTAGTCGAATTAGAATACTATACTACGCGCATTTCGATTGCAAAGAACACCCGAACAAGTAAAATTATGATAAAGCGACGACATTTGACTCCTCTAAAACATTGGGACACCAATAATAGGAAACATCTTCGTCAAATCAACTGACAAACCTTTTAAGAAGCTAAAACAGTTCCTGTACACGACTCGAACCGTGAATGAATGAATCAATCGAACTTAGCCTCAAGTACCACAGACAGACAGACGAGTGAGCTACCATCGCTTGAGCTATTTTTATCGTCAATCGGCGAGCCATTTCTCCAACCGGGCTAATTATGCCAGCTGTTCGCCATTCTTTCACTTGTCCCCATCCTGGCTGTCACCTCTTCATCAAAGTGCCACCCCCACCTGTCATGAGCATTTCCTATCTACTGACAAGCAAAGGTAAAGCAGTATCCCAACAGTAAAACAATACCTCTGTTACCTCGGGGCCTTTACGGGGACATGACTTCCTCATCGTCACAAATGGATCATGACGGAAGTCAAAGGCTTCCGAATGGCATCCGACCTGCGGAACAGGAAGTGAGGGACTCGTCAGATCTCTCTCCAAGCCCTTCAAGGCTTGTCACCACCGCTGCAGCTGCAATAACACCAGATAGTGCAGAGCGAGCCTCCAGTAGATCTCGTCCTAGAATAAACAGTGTTTCATCTTTCGGTTCCACTGAAACTGGTGAAACTGGCAATTCACGGCTTCAGGAGCTGCGGTCACAAAAGAAAGCGAAGCTAGGTGCGCTGAAGGAGAGAATAAAATCTTCACATACCACACTTACTACACCCGTACGAAATCAGGATCCAGCTTCAAAAGTGAAACCACACGAGGGTAACAGTCAGATTGGCAACTCTGCCGAGACTCAAAATATTGATGGTGACCCAACATCTAAGCTCAGTGAGCTCCGTGCAAAGCGGAAACAAAGGTTAGAAGATGCTCAAATTGGAAGCCCTGCAAGCGCACCAACACCGCGTCACGATTTTCGTCGCTCTGCTGGTTCACCTCCACCGGTCATCATGTTAAGTGGGACTGGTGTAAAAGTTAAGGAAACGTCACCGAACCAGCTGGAGATTGTTAGCGACAACCACACAGGCACATTGTCTGATGATGGGATGTGCGAAGGTCCGAGCATAGCGGGGAATTCGGATGATATGGATATGGTGAGCGACTCGGAATCTGTGGAAAACGACAAAGCAAACGTAGCCTTTCGTCGATTATCAAATGAATCATCGAGTGTGTCAGATGAGATTCTAAGACCTTATCTTGCTAGACGAGGAAGTGCTCGCAGTGCTGATATGGGTACGCCCATTCACAGACATATTGTCGCAAGACGTTCAAGTGCACGCAGCGTTGATGACACGTCGAGCTTGTCCAAGCTAGATCTTCTGAGGCTACGTCGAGCGCAGAATCGCGAAAAGGCCCAACTGGAGCTTGCAGCACTTGGAACCCCAAGACACCGTGTTGGAGTTGAGCAGCCATCTGGAGAATCCTCTGCTCCAAAGCACTCGCAACAAAAGCGGGCGAAAGAACCGGCGAATAACGACGAACTAGCAAAGCAGCTTCATGACGTGCAAGAGGAGCGAACCCAATTGAAGCGGCAGCTCGAAGCAAGCAGGGCGGCTTTTCGACTCACTCGAGAGTTAACCACTTTACAGCGGCAGCTCGGAGCAAGTAGGACTGCTCTTCAACTCACTCGTGAGGAAAAGCTATCACATGCAAAGATTGGAGCTGAAGCTGGATCTGAGAATGACCTGTTTGGTCTCTGCAACATGGTTGATGAACTTCAAGGTCAAGTTGACAAGCTCGGGGGAAAGAAGATCGAAGACAAAATTCGCCTAGAAGAAGACTTACACAAGTCCAGATTAGAAGTGGCACAGCTTCAGGAAGAGGTTGAAGAGAATCAACACACTCTGAAGAGAATGAAGACGGAGAATCAAGAGTTGAACGATCAGAAAGAGCTACAGCTGGTGAGTCATTCCAACATAATCAAGATGTGGGAGTGCAGGGCTGAAGGACTGGTTTCCCAGCTTCGCGATCTGCAATATTCGCTACAAAATTTATCACATGTTCGATTGCAAGAACGTAGTGACTTACTTCGGCGTGTCCTTCTTTTGCAAAAGGAAAATCAGCTATTACGGAATGGGGGTTTAGAAGGAGAGAAGAAAATGTCTTCGAGAATAATAAGATTCTGGAAGCCTGGTATTTCATCCTCATTTGGTAACCCATTCAGATCACTACTGGGTCAACGACACAGGAGTACAGTAAAGGCAACCGGGCATACCTGGCATCCTTTCAAACCAGCCTCCTACAAGAGCGAAGTGAAATCGCGCCATCGTTTTTCGAATCTCTTGAATGGGTTGGTGAATTGGGACACGGCAAAGAATGTTGCTTGGGGAGCTGGGATAATGGGGCTGTTTCTTATGAGTGGAGGAGATCCACAGATATCTCACGACCGGGGTCCATTCGTCCGATTTGAAATTCCAACGCCATTGTTCCAAGGACCATGAGCGCTGTACGGTAGAAGATGCTACGATTAGGGATTAAGGGGAAAGCTATTAGACGCGGATTAATATAATCCAACCTATATCTTCATAATGAAAATCTTTTGGTTAATTAAAAGAGTAGCTCTAGGAGATGACAAAAGAAAAATTTCATCTCGCAACATTCATGGTACAAGCTTCTTGTGTTGTGATGCAAAAGACCAAGCTGAATATGTTCATTGCAGAGCATATTTGACTACCACAAATCGGTACACTCTTCCCCACAATCACGTAATTCAGCGCTAATTTCCTCGCTTGCATCTTTGAGCAGTAGCTTGTGCTCTATCATCATCTCATATGCCCACTGCATTCGTTCCATTGTGTTTGTTGCTTTGAGAGCGTAATTCAATGCATCTCGTGGCAGAAAGTCCTTAAGTGAAAGCACTGCCATGAAACTCAGAACTTCGTAATAGTACTCCTCCGTGACTTGTTTTTGTGGACTGTAGTATGCTTGCAATTTCTCCATCATGTTATGCGTGAGTGGCGGAATTGACGAGAATGCCGCTGCTGTAAAGCCCATTCCATAGTTCTTCCATTGCATAACCTGGCTCAGAGCTGACTGTCCAGAAAAAGCCTTGTGTTGTTGTCCAGGAAAGTCCTCAAGGAGTGTATCAATGTCTGGCTGGGCCGCACGCATGTTCTCGGCGTCATCCAGGACGAAGCCCGAGGATAAGAGACCAATACCATCATGGTCTTCCAACGTTGTTCCAGTGGATGCCTTGAGCCGAGCATCAGCAGCCTTCAGACCTCGAACTAGCCTCTGCCTATCTTCGTGCATGAATTGGAGCTTTGCCGTCCATTGACTCATTTCTGCAAGAGCATGCACTGGTGACACAAATCTTGCGCGTCCTACTTTTTGGGCACCCTCCGATCGTTGGTCCGTGTCCACCATTAGGTTAAACTGGGCAATCAGTAGAGGTGTCTCTCGCTCATCGAGGTATTCTCCGTCATCGAGTCCCTCATCATCCCCTTGTATTCCTTGTATCTTGTCAAATGCCTGCCAATAGCTATTTGGAAGACGAGAATGAAATCCGCACAAGGATGCACGACCAATGCCAACAAGACGGATCTTGCTTTTGGAAGGAAGGAAAGTATCTTTTTGATTTGCGGTAATGAGCTGCAGTGACTCCATAAAGCTTTCTTCAGAAGATGTATCCAGTGTCACCTTGGATGGTGTTACGACTCCAACAATTGCAGCAATTGTCGCGTATTTGGAATTCCGAGTATCCAAGGTTTGTTGGGATGTCACGTCGTCCATGACTGCCACCAATGGAGCCGCATCAATACCAACAACTTCCTCTGGCTGTTCCTTGAGATATAGTTCGTGAATATGTAGACATTCCTCCAGCGTATTCCATTGTAATGGTGAGGGAAACTCCAAAACATAATCTTCACCGACCAACAGAGGTGGGGATCCAGGTATGGGCCCCAGCACGGGGATTGTCCTTGCCAACTTTGGTGTTGCGTACAACCGCTGTGAACACTTGGTTCGTGCCGTATCCAATGTCCTCCAAGTACTTTCCGCCAATCGAGTTTTCAATGGAAGAATGGGAGATGCGCAAAAGAACGCCTCACTACTATGCTGAACCAGAATCATCAGTGCGACAATCATGGCGAGAGACGGCAGCGTTGTTGGCACCAGCAGTCTCCTCCTCAGTCTCGTTGAAAACATGACACACTTTCTTTCTTTTCCCGTGGGAAATTACAAGGCAGAAATGATTTGGCTACTGTATCTTCTCTTTGTTTTTCTTCTAGCTGGTCATTGGAGCTGCTGTTGGGCGACCAAACTACGATATTCCTCTTCCCCTCTTCGTTGAAAAGAATGTAAAGTTGCGTTGATTTTTCTGGATCGAGAAATGAGAATATTGTAATGATGACAAATGACGTCACCCCCGTTCGTACGTCAAAAGCTCAAGAGTGAGCTCTTACTATATATTATTGTCTCTCGTCATACGGTACCCTTTACAGCTCAGTTAAGTAGTATTAAAATATCTAATGTAATGGACTGCCTTTTGCAATAGCTCGAAACTCTACTCGTACAGTGCTACCAATCAATGGTGCCAATAAGCGAAGCAAGCCGTCTCGGGATTGATTGATCGTGAACCACCAACATGGGGAAAATGAGTGAGTTGATTGATTCATACATTCGCTCTGCCTGCTTCCTGCTTCGTCAAAATGACTCATCTCTTCGGACTGGCGATATCGTCTCCGCTGGCGGTGTTGGCATCTTCATCAAACAATCTGGTATTTGCTTCCGACAGAGCAATTTTTCTTGCCACGCAAACAAAGGTACATGTTTCATATCCTCAGCTGAAGTTGGACATGCGAGGTTCTCAGGTATTCGACTGCAAACTCTATTCTGTAGCCTCCAATATGCTGTCTTTCCCTTTTGGATTACTCTTTGCACTAGGGTTCTCGAGGTCTGAACAGTTCGCAAAATAACGTAACGAACCCCAGTTGCTGTTCTTGGGGCATTGGGAGCGTCAGGGTCGCAGTGCTCCTCCACATGCAGTCGCCTTCGACAAGATCGTCCCAGATGATAGTCCCCACCTTTGAAATTGAAATCACACTCACAGTATGGTTCTAATCATAGTGATAAGAAAGCATGAATGAATCACATAGGGTTCTTCTGTTAGAATGAATCAATCAAAGCACCATTCATTCCAAGACCAAAGCTGGCTGTCACGCCAAGAATAAACGTACCGCATCTCACAGATCTCCAATCCCATTTGCATTCGGCATCCGTATCTGGTATCACCTTTTTCGTCAAGAAATCCTTTGCGACTTGACCAAATGTGTCCAATAAGGTTCTATCATCATATGCATTCGCTTCCGTGGCCTCAAAGTACTTGGATGGTTCCATCATCATTACATCACGATCCCGTTCGTTGGATGATTCAGTGGCCTCATCAAATAAGTCATCGGACTGTTCTCTTCTTGTTCTATCAATATAATATTCATCGGCGTTGGTTTCCTCAAAGTAATCGGAGGATTGCTCTCTCATTCTATCAGCATCGCCATCCCGTTCCTGTATATTATTATTATTGTTATCATTATTATTATTATTATTATTGGATGATGATTCTTCACTCCTGGCTTGGTCGTCAACACCAACAAGGCCATTCTTGGATTGCTGGGCGGTCATCATCCTTGCCTCCACCTCCTGCTGGGCGGATATTCCTTTCGCACACAATAATAATACCAGTGTGCAAACTGCGACCTGAAGTACTCGATGCATTGATTTTATCTTCATTTCACGAGTTATAGTCTCAAAAGTATGACTTGAACTGCGTGTATTTGAATGGTGATGTGGGCGTTTTGAATTTTAATAAAAATCTGATCGATTATTGATTAATCCGACCGTTGGAAGTGTTATATCAATTTGAAATTACGGTACTGTATTATTCGATATGGATCATCATCCAGACGTCCCTGGTACCTACAGTATGACTGTAACTACAGCAGGATCGATTGTACCTGTCAGGATCGAGTTAGTCGTCTTACGACTTACTAGATCGTCTGTCCGTATGTCCTCATACATCACATCATTCATCACGTTCATCTAGCCACTCTATGAGTTACTGACGATTAACAAGTCGCTTCG